GATTTCCCAAATGACTGAAGATTTTTGTTGCTGAATTAAATTAAATCATTGGGATTTTTCTAAAAGATGCAGAAGCGTCTTGTATATAGCACAACACATAGCTAGTTACTGTGGATTTTTTAAAACCTATGTGGGTTAACCTGTATGGATTTTGTATTGAAATCATCTTTTTCCTTTTTTGCTTTACCATTAATTTAAAAAAGTAATCTTTCTATTTAACAGGCTTTACCGTATGGGGATGCAGTAATGTGATACGCAGGGGTTTTAAAGGGTTAAAACTTGAACCAAATGGAAAGTACCACAAACCAATAGCGTTGTACAGAGTGATTGTTGCTTTTACAAATTGTTTCCAGCAGAGGGAAGTAGAGACTCACCATAATCTTAATCCCAGTATTTAGTGTAAATGAGTGGGATTATCAAACTGTGTTTTTTACAGTCAGTTCATGCATTGGAGATATAACCTTTATCCCATCTTCTGTGAGTTTTATTGTCTTTGCAAATAAGGGATGCTTTATTGGATGCTAAGTGTCTTCACTCTTTGTTTGCATCATCAGAAGCAGCTGCAGTGTTTGGTCTCTCATTAATCAGTGCTGCAGGTCAGACACTCACAGAAGGAAGGTGGGCATTCTCACTCTCTCTTTTTTCTGCCTCGAGCTTCTCTGATATCATCTTCCTCAGACAGCAGCAAATAAGTTTCTGTTCACAAATTGGGCGATGATGCAGAGAGAAACTGCACTTTAGGAAAAGCAGCCTGGGCAGTAGTAGCACAGGTGTGTGTGTGTTAGAGAGAGAGAGAGAGAGAGAGTGAAATCCCACGCATGCTTGTTCTCTGCAGTGTGAGTCGTGACAGAGATTTGTAGAGTTTAGACCGAGCCTGCTGAGGGTTTGATACCCAAAGGCTGTGGAGGAGGGAGAGTGTTGCCGTGTGAATGGTGTGTAAATATTTCTGCCGGACTAATGTCAACTTATTCCCGGATTCTGCGCTGGTTTATGTCAGAAAAAGTCTGTGCGTGGTTCTCTTTTGTCAGGACTGAGGGAGAGGAGTGGGTGTAGTGAGTGGGCGATGCACTGCAGCGAGCATGTGTTTTGTGAAGCACAGGGAACAGGTACGGGTGTGGTAGGTGAGGACCCGCCTGAATTTAAACCGACCAAAACATGCTCAATTTCAGTATTATTTGTACTCCTCTGGGCAATGCAGTGGAAGGAGAGGGAGTGACCGGTCCATTACAGAGACTTGTATCTTTCCCTTTTTGCTGTAGATTGTATGTTTTCGTTGAGAAACCACATGGCTTTGGACAGATGGCACACCTAAGAGTTATCATATCAGGCCTTTGTTAACTTCTAACAATGCGACTGCTTCAAATGCCCCTCTCTGTTTTGGAGCCGAGCGCAAATAAAAGCTGCAGTGCAGAGGAGGAAAGCCACAGAGCTGCTCCCCCTCCGCCTGCACCTCCTCCTCCAGCATTTCAGTTGTCCTGGGACCCTGCTGACCACTGAAGCACATCCTCCAAACCAGGGTTCTTGCAAGGAGTCACAGGAAGGGCGAGCTCATTAATTATCTCTCCTTCCCTTCCTCCCCCCATCCTCCCATCACACCCTCCCTTCATTAACGACAAGGTTAATCCGCTGCTTATCTCTCAATGGGCCTCATTTTTCATGACTCCCTTTCTACGTCACGCCCTCCCCAACCACAACTCTTTTTTTATCTTCTTTTTCCTTTGCTCCAACTGTCCCTCTTTTTTTCCTTTGGGTTTCTTCAAAGTTTCCCTTTTATTCTTCACAGTTTACTCACTGGTTACTCATCTTGCGTTCCTCCTACCCGTTCCTTTCTTTTTGCTTTCCTTTCCTCTCCTGTCCTGTGCTTACCTTGAAGAGGCCATGGTGAGTTGAGAGAGTAGATCTATTACAGCTTATCACTAAAGGACAGGCCAACGGCGCACGCTAGTGAAATATGGCTGCTGTCACAGTCACCGCCGAACACGACCCGTGCACAAGACTCACAGAGATGTAAGGACGAGGGGAGAGGGGAGCTGAGGGGAGGGAGAGGGGCTGTGGAAACCAATATCAGCACTCTAATTCAAATTAATGGGGAGATTTCCAGGCTTGATGCTGGCCGTTTGACAGTGATTTGGCACACAATTAACCTTGTCTCCATTTCGCCTTTGCACCCTTGTCACCTCCTCGGTCTCACTTGCTGCCGTGCTTTTTTCCCTCCTCCGTCATGCTCCTTGACACAGTATTATTGATACTGAACCAAATGGAGATGATAATATTTTATGAGATAACTGCCATTCCCTGTTCTTGTTTTCCAGTTGAATTAGGTCTGAACTGCCAACATCCATGTAGCATTACATTATGTGACCGCCTCATCTCAAGCCTTGCACATAGCCCGTCACTTAGAAATGAGTGAACCATTCTGAAAAATTATGTGAATTACATCATCAATAGCACTGGTTAATTATTATGATTAACTTTCATCAATGTGATTAACAGGAACTATTGCACTGCACTTACATCAATTTAAGTTATTTCAATTTAAGAAGCGTGCTTATAAACTGAGACATAAATGTCTTTGTTACACCATGGGATGTTTTTTTCATGTTAGACCAAGTCTTTGGTATGTGCTGCAACATCTGTCCATAGCTTGACAGATATCCACTCAGTGACCTGCTTAAAAGACCATCCATTGTGCAGCTCCAGCCTTTCAGCTACAATTTACTCACTGCTTTTATAGGCCATTTCACCTTGGGTTCCAGTTCATAGCATCAAGCAGCCTATAGTTTTCAAACAGAGGAGAATAACAAGGGTATAAAGGTGGCAGAGGAAACAAAAGAAACACAAGAGAGGCTTGATGTCTAAAATAATGATTGTAAAAACTTAAAGCTTTTTAGACATCTCCTCAGGATTTTTTATGACAGAGCCATTATGTTCATCCAATTTGGAAATAGTTCATTTCAAATCTAACATGAATAGTTCAGAAACAGTCGTTTCAGTGTGTACCACAAGCCTTTATTTCAGTAATACACTGACTAGAAATCTAATTGATACATTGCCTTACGGTGGGACGTAACAGACATGTTAATTACAATCCAAACCAACAAAAGTGCATCATCCACAAAAAGCTTAGATGGATCCCACACTGTGGGCACAGCTCTTGTTTTCAGTTATGCAGGGACTAAACTTGCTAAAGCAGTACCCCTCACAACACCCCCCACATAATACATCAGACAGTGGTGGCTCCCAAGACCTCCTCCGTCAACAAAGATAGAAGCGACGTTTTATTAAATCTTGTGTTTTCTGCCTCAGTTCTGAGCTTGTGTTAGCTCCAGTCACTCTGAGGGGTGGGTAAGGTGTTTGCAGCAACTCCATCCCTGTGTAAGCATAATGTTGTTGAGAGTTGATTATCCAGGTTATCTGAGACTCCTATTCAGCACTTAGTCACACAGACATCACACACAGGGTTGACAGCTTTGTGACAGCGCTGTCATAGTGCTGATGTGACACGGTCGGTCTGACAGTGTGGTCCAACACTTGCAGAAGTCGAAACGACTAATGCAATCATATGCAAACGCTTCAGGAAGGTATGTGAGGAAAGTGTGCGTTAGATTTATACTTCAAAACATAAAAACAGAACCAAGCAAGTTGTGGTGAGTTTAGGCCAGTGTTAATCATTAGTCACTTATAGTGAGGGCTCTTTTGGATCAAGCAATGCTAATGAATCCTTTAGCGAGCGCTAAAACTTGGAATGTTGTTTTTGGAGTTTACAAATAGTTTATTTTTGTTGAACTCATTTTCCACTCTGAAACAGGAGGCTGATGTTGGTAATTTATTTAATTTAATCTAAATGAAGCTGACTAATTTCATGACACTTTAAGCAATGCTTTGTCTTGTATCTGAACAAGAAGCCTACTACCTCGGGGGAAAAAAAAAAAGATTGGTACATGCTTTTTTTTTAAGGGAGATCGTTTCCAAAAATGTGTTACAGCCACACTGAGTAGCATTGAAATTAAATGGACATGTTTATGATGATAAACAAGCAAGGAGCGGAAAGAGAGACCTTGATACACGAGGCACATTATGGACAGTAATGCAGGGCAAACGGGATAGTGTGGATTTATTTGATTAGCCAAAATAGCACTAAAACGGATTATGTAAGAGTTTGAAATTCAAATTATCCACACAGCTCACCCACCTCTCAGTATTCAGAGTCGCACTGCCTTTTTTTTTATTGTTCTAAACAGCGCCTCTTATCATGTTCAAGTGATAGAGATGGCAGATAAAAGGTATGTGTCGACTTTTTGCCATCACTTTTCATAGATGTTTAGCCTCAGAATCCACACTGGACAAACAGCCCAGTGGAAGAAGTAATGATGTACCAGCAGTTCCCCCATGACTCACGACACAGCCATGTGTAAAAGGCTTAACAAGGTAGGAGGGGATAAGCGGCACCCCTGATGTGTAAGCTGTCTCTGCTTTGAAGCAGATGTAAGCATGTGTGTCTGTTCTCTTCTTCACCCGTTTTGTTAGCGCATGTTGGGGCGCTCATGCGCCTCAGAAGCATGAAGCCCGACTTTACGACTATTAATGTATCCTGATCAGCCCACTGAAAATGAAGCTAATCTGTTGAGAGGGAAATAGGGCAGGAATTAGATCACCCAATCCACAACCGGTTTGCTTTTAGCATCCAAGGTATTCCGACATTTGCATCCCATCCTTCAGTAACTAGTGGCTGTGCAGACTGTTGCCTGTCAGTCTTTAGGTAACAAATACCAACTTTCATTTGCTGCAAGTGATGATTTATTTCATACTTGTTAATAAGCCTTGATACACATTAATTGAAATTCCTGGCTGTTTGCTGCAAACTGAGGTTAATTTCAAGTGATTCTGTCCAGTTTTCAGCCAACAATAATTGAACAAAAGTATCCTCACCCAAGTTTACCCTCCACCAATCATGAAGCTCCCTTGTATGTTAAGTGTAAACCTGTTTGTTCTTCTTGTAGACTATTGTTCGAGGGAACCGTCCGCCCAAAGATGCATCCATTAACGGCCTGCTGGAAGAGTTTGACAACATTTCAGTAACACGTTCCAATTCGCTGCGTAAAGAAAGTCCACCGGGCCTCCATCAGGCCGGAGCCAGCTCCAAACCCTTGGGCAGTGGTCATCCCATTGCCCCAGAGGAGAATGGGTTCAACCACTACTATTCCCGTTACTCGTGTGACCTGGATACTGCAAGAAGGGACTTTTCTCTGGATCCTGGGAAGCCAGGCTTCACCATAGATGGGGACTGGGCTGTTGGGAGGCACTATCGATTCACCAAACAGAATGGCCACTCACACCCCATACGCAGCTCCTTTTACCCGGATGCCATGCCTAAAAAATCTGACTATGGCAAGCTCCCGCCGGACTACCACACCTTCTTGGAGAGTAAAGGGCGCTCAGCTGATGAGGTGGCCTCTACAGTGGGGAGTGGAGTGGGCTCCAGTGGCTACTACCGTGCTTCGGTGGGAGGCTCTTCCAGCCAGGACTACCGGGACACTTCAGTTGGCACACCATCTCGAGCCTCTCTTCACAGTGAGCAGATTAACTACCCAGACAGCGAGTGGAGCTACGGTGGCCTGCGAGATGATTACGACAAAAGACCGAAGAGCTCTTATGTGACCCAGACCAGCCCCACTCCGGCCATCAGGCAGCGATCTCGGTCGGGATCTGGCCTACAGGAGCAAAATGTCCCCTATGCGGCCAGCGGGGCTTTTAAGAACCCTCCCCAGGCACACCCATACAGCTCCTACACCTACCCTCGCCTGTCAGAGAGTCTCACTAATTCCCAGACGCTAGCCAAGGTAAGGAGTTGAAAACTCTACATCTGAGGTGTAAACTATTAAATGAAATATCCATCAGCGAATTAGGTTGTTTGCTGTAAACTGCGGGGCTGTCAAATTACAGGAAGCACTTTTCCAAACACCTGTCTCAAGCCTATTTACTCTTTTCCCTGTCGTACTTTTTGTAAACTCTCCGATCCTCAACAGCACTTTTTTCCCCCTGTCTCCTGCCAGATAAATGGTGTCAATTTTAATTTACTGTTCCCTGGAGGAGGCAGGTGCATCCACATAAATAATTACCCCTCTACAATGTCCACCGTCTCTGCTCCCAGATCAATTGATGCTCATGCTGACCATTGATCGGACACCTCAGAATGACGGAAAGAGTTGCAGAGACCAGACAAAGAGAGGTGTGAAGGAATGGGAGATCAAAGACAGGAGTGAGGTGTAGGATCATGGTAGATTAATATAATAGAAGGAGAAGATAAAACACCAGGGTACAAAAGGATCAAACAGGATTAACAAGAGGAATCTGATTGTTTTTACCCTAAATTCCATCAGCTTTTTAGTATACATGTAAACAAAAGAAGAATGTTTCCCTTAATGGAGTGAATTCCAGAGGTGAGGTAGTGGGACCTCATTTCAACATTTTTCGATTTTATTTGGGGAGCGATCTCTTGCAACTTTAACTCCAACCACGGCTAAATATTACATTTTAAGCTGAGAATGGAGAAAAATATGGAAGTAAATATGTGCCATCAGAATTTGAATAAAAAATACCTCTGAAATTTGAATGTTTTTATATATTAGTCCTTACTTTTTCAGTATTAAAAATAAATTCAGAATATATTTTTAACCTAAAAACACGTGACCCAAACCAGTGTTTTAAATCAGGCTTTAAGATAATGTATCAAACTTCATGCGCAAAATAAAATATACTACAGAAATATGAAAGCATTAAACTCACCGTTGGGTTTTAGTTCGCCTCCATGTTCGCCAGCCTGGGTGATACTGGTACTTCTCCAACATGACGGTTATGTCACGTGATTAGGTGGATGTTGGAATCGGACATCCATTGCTAATGTCTGTGACCTGAAGTAACCTTGGCCATTTTTACAGCGAATTTTTAGACGCTGAATTTGAGACAGCGAATTTGAGCAAGTTGAATTGGAGGACAACGAATATTGCATTTGAATTTTGAAAAGTTGAATTTTTTATATGCTGAATTTTTTAACACTGAAAATTTAAACTGTGTAAAATATGTATATTGAACATTTTATCACTTTGAAATAGGAATGTGGATTTTTTTAATAACTGAAAATTGCAACCATGTAAAAAAAATTACACAGAATTTTTTTTTTTATGTACAAATAATGACATTGAATTTTTTTTAGGTTAAAAATATATTCTGAATTTATTTTAATACTGAAAAAGTAAGCACTAATATACAACATTCAAATTTCAGAGGTATTTTTTATTCAAATTCTGATGGCACATATTTACTTCCATAGAAAAAGCAGTACATTTATAACACTTATTAAAGACTGAAAGCGTAACGTTTTAGACAAAACCGTTTTCTACACATTACACACATTTTTATAATCCAAATAGATAGGATATAGTAGAAAAATACATACAGGAAATACAGAAATGAGCAAAGCATTATCTTTTGAAAATCTGATGTTAGTCCAACTGATGTGTTGCAAACTCCACATCATACTGTCCTAAGAGCAATAACTCCTGATCATTTGCCTTGACTGGCTGGGGGTTTGAGGGGACAGGGAAGACGGACAATGAACACCACAACAAGAGCTCAGGATAGCTGAAGAGAAGGAGGAACACATCATTGTCTCTTGTACATGAAGAAAAAGGAGCAACAACACAACTTGATATTATCAGTTGCATGTTTTTTAGCTTGAGGCAGAATTGAATGTGGTTAACAAAGAGCAGTGGAAAAAACACGCCGGATTTCTCTTCTATGCACACAGAGCACTGACACCAACAAACAAAGTATAAACACGAGAAGGCGTGTCTTTAACAATAGAATATCAGTGAGAGTTGCTTGTCATCTTTTCTGTACCATTGTTATCTTCGTTATTATTATCATGAGGAGGTATATTTTTCCCCCATCAGAGGACACCAGAAAGGTGGTGCTAGCAGGAGGTAAAATGTTCTAAGTCAATGCATCAGCAGGTGCGTTCATGCTGGAAGTAGTTTCTATCATGCCTCCTGCACAGTTTTTACATTGTTCCTCAAAGCTATAACGCTTCATAATGTCCATTCTACTATGAGCAAGTCTCTGTGCGTTCCACACAGTAAGTCAGCAACTGAGAGAAGCGGGCTTGCTGATGTATATCCCGGGGTGCCTCAGTGAAAACCCATTTAACCTGCCCGCCGCAGTAAATAGCTACTCTGAGTAAAACAGATGCAGAAAATGCAAGAGCAGTGAGAAAAGCGATGCAGGCGAAGGTCGTTTTGCCTTACATACGGCTTATTTCTACTTTGCTTTACGAGTTGTTGTGCTTGATGAAGCACAATTCTTTCAGTTTTTGTAATTTTTTTTTGGTGTCTGTTTTGTGAGACACTGCACAGTAATTGTGCAGAATTGGAACTGCCAAAAGCAAGCGGAATGACTTGTCCTCTGCGAGATAAGCAAATATAAACCAGTTGCAATAAAGAGGACCGTGGCTGAATTCTACTGCAGTAGCCCTGTGCTATTCAAAGGGCTACTGCACTTCTGCCTGATCAGATTTTCAACTTCTGTAAAACTGATCACATGTTTAGTGCGTAATCACATCCTGTTAGAAGTTCGATTTATGCCTTACTGTGAATTCATTCCCCTTTTTGTTAAAGATTTTGGAGCTGTGGTTAGAATAAAGAAGTGATCCGGGAGCTCAGAAATCCCAATCCTTTGTGGTTCACGGGGTTTATAACAAACACACTCCTCTCCTGTGTCTGGCTTTTCTTCCCCTTCCCCTCCTTCAGGCAGCTCACACCTCAGAAGTAAATCCGTCTCTCTCCCTGCTGTTGTTGGGCGCTGGTGGGGATGTGAACGTAGACAGCACGGAGTGGTGGCCACACACAAAGACATAGGCACGCACACTTCCTCCTTCTCCACTGGATTTCTGCCTCTCCCCTGCGTTTTGTGGGGAGTGTGAGCTCGGCGCCGCAGCTCTCGTGACAAATTGATGTTGCGGCACTTTACCTTTCTGCAGCCTTAGCATAAAACTGGCCGAACGATGTTCCACCACGGAATTCAATTTCACAGTTGAGTTAGGTTGTTGATTACCCTGCCAAACTCAGATTAATGTGCGTTTAACCAACATGGATCAGGAGACCCTTGGCTGACAGCCAGCTAGCAGCGCTGGCCAGTGATAGGTGGGGGTCCGAAACTGGGACTTCCAGCATGCGCCTTCACCCCGTCTCACCCGCCACACACACACACACACGCACACACACACACACACACATCTGCCTCAAAGTGATTGATTAACCAAGTACACACCATGTAATTATACACCATCCCAACACATCAGGACTCCTCCTCCCGCCTTCTGCGTACACATGCGTGTATATGTGCGGGTAAAGGGTAAAGACAAATAGCAATAAACAGAAAAAGAGGAGGAGAGTGACATTTTTTTTGCTCATATTATAAGAAAAGTCTGGTATTGAGAATTTATGGAAAAAAAGAAGCAAATGGAAAATCATTTTTAATGGGTGTGGCCAGTGTGATTTAGTATAGTCTCTGTTGGATGCTGGCAGCATTTATCTCCAATTGTTGTCCTTCTATTTAATACAGCGGACTGTTTGTTGGGGTTGTTTTTTGTGAGGCATAGTAAGACTCCCGCTGTAGCATAAAAGTTGTTGTCATTTCCTGTTGGGTTTTAGTTATTTAGGTGTGTTTATATGCATTCTTCTTGCACCAAGGCTGCAACAACACAATGTTTTTATGCACATTGATTGAATTGAATATACTTTATTGATCTCCAGGGAGAAATTGACTTTGATTAATTTATAACTGTCTGTTTTTTCCCACTCTTCCAGGGCGACTATGAGCGTCCACCTCGTGATGAAAGTCCCCAGGTTGCAGGTGGAAGTACCTGCGCCCGAGGGCCTCTTAAGCTACCTCAGAGTCACGTCAAACCACCTGGCTACCCCCCAATACATCTACCATACCCCCCTATCTTTCACCATTACAAACCCTCACCCTACCATCATCCCCCCTCCCAGCCCAGCCCACCATACACTCCACAGGTTAGAGCAAGTTCTCTGTCTTCTTACATAAAATATACAGAAAAAAAATTATCAGGATTTTGGACTCATTCATTAAGTTACCCATAACCATGACTTTTGATTACAATTCCGTAATTTTTTATAGAAAAACATTTAGTGACATTAGTTGAATACCGATTCCAAAATCTGATGAGTTTTCAAAAATACAAAAAAAAAATCATATTCAGATTCTCTTACTGTTGTTTTTTTTTTTTAAATGTATTTTATCAAGGGGGCCTACTCTCAGCCTTCATCCCCCTACATCCCCCCGGGGGCTTATCCTCCTCCTTCTTGGGGGTCGAGCTCTGACACCCAACCTTCCAGAGTCTCCCATGAACAGTTCAGAGCTGCACTCCAGCTGGTGGTCAACCCAGGTGAGACATGTAGAGTAAGAACAACAGAGGTACAGTAATGTTCCAGCGCTGCTTAAAAAGCGAGTACATGTCTGCGTTTGCCCTCAGGCGACCCACGGGAATACCTGGACAACTTCATCAAGATCGGTGAGGGCTCCACGGGCATCGTGTGCATTGCCAGCGAGAAGCACAGCGGCAAACAGGTGGCCGTGAAGAAGATGGACCTGAGAAAGCAGCAGAGGAGAGAGCTCCTCTTTAATGAGGTGAGTAGGACGGTGGCCATGTGTAATGTACATTTACGCCTATGGAGCCAAGTTTGCTGCAGAAGTCTAAATACTTTCAGTACAATTCAGTTAATTTATTCCATGTGGAATATTTCAATCCAGAGCAAGATTCCTTACATTTGTCACAGAATGCTGGTGATTTAAACAAGCAACAGATTTGACTTTGTCTAAAATAGCATCATTAAATGTACCTTTTAATGTTTTATGTTGTGTACATACAGATGAGTAACTTTGTCCAGTTATTGAAGAAACTAGTCATTGAAGAAAATCAGCTTGCCTCTGTTCCCTCGACACGCATCCACTGCAATTAAACCAGTAACACATTTCTGCATCTGCATTGAATTTATTTGCTAAATTTAACAAGCGCTCCCTCTGAAACCCATTGGCGAGAAATGTATTCATTACTTTGGATGCAGAAGGTGCACCATTTTTGGGAAAAAGAGCTACATGCTATTTTAATTTCCGCTGATAAAAATGTAATATTTTCCGGGAAACCGCCTCTGGAGCAAAAAAGGAATTTCGAATAGTGTTAAACGTACTTATACAGCACTAATGCACAGATTCTATTTTTTCTGTGTTCAGCTGAGACCAACAGAGACGGCATGCATGTATGAAGTGAGCAGAGATTTGAAGCTGTGGGTGTTGAGTTAGAAACTAATTTCTTTCATGTAATCCTGTTAATTCCTTTTTGTAATCCGTTTAGAGATAGTCTCCAGAACATGTTAAGACAAAAAAAAACTAATTGAATTACACTGATACATTTGATGAGGAGTAGACAAATGATTTGAAACAATTTAAAAACAGTCATAAATACTATATTGAATATCACAACTGGTAATGATTGATAATGATATTGATGTTCCTTATCTATTGTTTCTAACACTTTTAGAGCACAGGTCTAACTCATCAGAGCAAAAAAAGGAATGCAGTTGCATCTTACCTCAGTTTCCTTAAACTGAATTAAGCTAAGGGACTTGGGCTGATCCTCCTCACAGTCCACGCCAGCATGGAGTGGACTATCTCCTTTTGAAACTTTTTTGACTAGTCAAAAGATATTAGAAAGCAACCACATCTTTTAAATGGCATATTTCAGGTTGTTCTTTTATTATCTGATGGTCACAGATCATAATATATGGGCAAGACGTAAATCCAGTGCACCAGAGCAGCTTTTGTCATCCCCTTGTCTCTGTTGCAGGTGGTGATCATGAGAGACTACCATCATGAAAATGTTGTGGACATGTACAACAGTTATCTGGTTGGAGATGAGCTGTGGGTTGTCATGGAGTTCCTCGAGGGCGGGGCGCTTACGGACATTGTGACCCACACCAGGTAAGGTTTTTTTGTTGCTTTTTTTTTAAACTTCTGAATTTATTTATTTTTTAGAGCTATCTCAAATGGGTCCGTATGGCATTGCATGCATACATGAATAGCAAAAAACGTGACGCCAATTCACTGGTTTTCCCATGTTCAGTCTTCAGAACGAAGTATCTTATCTGTCCATTGCAATTCTAAAATACAATACTCTGGATTTTTCAGATCACCTAAACCCTTGGTTGCATTTCAATATACTGGCATTTTCAATAATATCCTTGTTTTTTGTATTTATCTAAGTGATCAGGTGTTGTTAATTGATGAGATTTTCATTTCTTGTTTGCTTTGGTTTAACTTTTCCAAGTTGCTGTTTAGAAATAATAATTCTGATCAGAATTCTATTGTACTTCAGGCCCCTTTGGGCCACATATGGATGGGGTTCCTGACAGAAAAGTACAGTCTCGCTTTATGTCTTTTAGCTGGCTTCTCAATTTTAAATAACCAAGAAATGCATCACCAAAAAGATAAGGCAGAAGCAAAAGGACCTCCTCAGTTAAAGGCAGGCCACACAAACCTGGAGAAAAACAAATCATGATCCTTTTTTTATAGAGGAATGGAACGCCTGTTTTTTTGTAATTCATGTTGCCAATTGTTGTGCTGCACAAATAAAAAAAGTAACACAAAGATGGATGCTTTTAATCCAGCTCCAGTTGAACAGTTTCAGGATTTGAAATAAAACATTTTGCCCTCCGGCTTCTCTGAATTGTGTCTGCGTTGTTGAGTCGTGTTTCTAAGCCGGCGCCTCATTGTTTTAAACTTACTTTGTGCTTGGTGTATAATTACAGTAATTTGCGTTGAGTGTCGGCATTAGCGCTGCGCGGTGTCGGCTGCTAATAACACGCTTTGGTGAGGCTGAGCACCGCTGCTGCCATGAAGGACTTTGAATGGTCTCCCACGCAGATGTTTTACTGTTTGTGTGCTTAGTGTGTGTATTAGGGAAAGTTTCCTCACACACGAACGCTTTCAGAGGTACTAATGGGAATCTCAGTAAACAGGATATAATTGGCTGCGCATTATCTCTCTCACACGCAAATTTGGATGCTTTGAATATTCAGTATTGATACTATAGCAAATCTCACCAGTCACACGTAGGATGCAGGAGGTAAATGGGGGAGAGGGCGGTATTTGGTTAGAAACCACACAACCTCACTCTTTCATAGCGATCATAGGCATCATGCCAGCGAATAGAAGAATGTAAGTGCATCAGCATTGCTGAGCTTTTTGTTGTGGGAATAACTGCAGCTCATTGTGCAACCCTCATCATGTTGCTGGGCTGCTCAGAGGTAGTACACACACACAAGTCGAGCACACAAGCACACACACCGACGAGTCAGCAGTGGGAGAGTCACGTTCAGATTTCAATTATTCTTTTAAAGTTGGTTAATAGGATTTTGTTTTATCCCGTGTGTGTGCCTGCAGCAGCATTTCCGCTGGTGTACGCATAAGTGCAGGTGTAATTCCCCTCCCTTTGACCACCTTCACAGGCTCATTAAGGTTGTTTTCCTACCTTGCGAGACAATTTTCTGTTTCGGCGATCGTGTGTTGCAGTGGCTTGTGTGCAGAAACGGAAGGCAAGTAAGAGATGAGGTCGTCTTTGCATACATGCGCGTGTGTGTGTGTGTGTGTGTGTGTTAGTGCAAGTGGCCTAACACACACTGGTCCTATCAATGCAAGTTTATACGGAGCTCCTGCAGGGGAACCTGGATTATGTGTGCGTGCTACCTCATGAGAACATACATGTGCTACACATGTGCATGTTCCCTCTCATTTTTTACACATGGGGCATAAATGAGGGAGTATCACTCCACACACAATCCCACACACACAGCGTGGCCATGCCAGCTGGGTTCGGATGTTAATGTTCAGTGAAGCTGGAGGTTTCTGTGTGAGCTCACATCGCCCCATCTCTCCATATGGGGCAATCTTCCCTGCTCCGTACATCATGGCTGCAGCCGCTGCAGGCCAGAAGAGTGTATTTCCCCCCCTGTGGTCGCCCAGCACTCTCTGTTGTCATGGTCTGTCATTTCTGTAGGATGAAGAATTCAGGGGCGCCTTGGTAGGATATGCTGGGTGGACATTGAGAGCAAGCTGTAGCCTGGCTGCAGATACAGGGCACCAAGTCATATATCTTATGGACTATTATATGACAGTATCACATTGTCTTAGCTGTGCTACAGCATTATTGTGACAAAATAAGGGCATTTATATAAACAGGGATTTTATAAACATTCCAGGCCAGATGATCTAATGGTGGAAAGGACTATGGTTCACTTCACTGCCTCATAAGCCTGAAAAATTTAACTGCAGCTGTACTCTTGGACATGGCAGAAAACAAGATGGAGGAAGCAGAACAAATTTCAAAACCAGTCTTTACTAGAGCTGCTGGTAGAAACGGTTAATGGTTAAAGCAAAATGTTGAACTTTGGAACTTTTTGGAAATCTATGCAACTTCTGTTAAAAAGCTACTGGAAAATGGAAAAAAAAAATCAATTACCTAATAAATAGAATCTCTTTAGGGATTGGATATTTAATATTTCTATTAAAAACAACAAAAGAAAAATCAGTTCTGGCTTTTTCTTTTTCCATTGACACAATTGACTAATGGCAGGAGTTTTTCACCAAGATTTTCAACAGGGCGAATGAACGTTTCATGAGGTCTAACTTTCTGGTGAGGCTGACACTTGTTTGCTTGTGTTTCAGGATGAACGAGGAGCAGATTGCCACCGTGTGTCTGTCGGTGCTGCGGGCTTTGTCCTACCTGCACACACAAGGCGTCATCCACCGCGACATAAAGAGCGACTCCATTCTCTTAACTAGTGACGGACGAGTAAGTTTGCATGCCAAATGATTCCATGGATGAGTTTTGGCGTATATACTCAATCTTGCCTACACGTATTTATACGCCAGACATTGATCACCTATCTGCTCCCTCTCCCTCACTCTTTCGGCTCTTTCCATGGGTGCCACTCTTGCCACCTGTCAGCAGTCACTGCCGAAACCTCATCATTATCAATTACCACTTGTGCCCCATTAATTAAATCCTGCATAATGCCTCCTAAGGAGATGATAAGACATGATTAATTAATGCTTAATTAACTTCTAAATGAGGAGATTAGTGTCCTATTTGAAAGCTCCTCCTCACATGGGGTCAGCCTGCTCCTGACCTGATATATTGTCTGTGTGTGTGTGCAGATCAAGCTATCAGACTTTGGCTTTTGTGCCCAAGTTTCCAAAGAGGTACCCAAAAGAAAGTCTCTGGTGGGAACACCCTACTGGATGGCACCAGAGGTCATCTCAAGGTTACCGTATGGGACGGAGGTGAGAACATGCGCACGCGTTGTTCCTCAAAGAGAGGGGAAAGCGGTTGCCCGTGGGCCATGACGGCTTCTCTGTGCGTGCAGGTGGACATCTGGTCGTTGGGCATCATGGTGATCGAGATGGTGGACGGAGAGCCCCCGTACTTTAACGAGCCCCCTCTGCAGGCCATGAGGAGGATACGAGACAACCTGCCCCCGCGGCTAAAAGAGTCACACAAGGTAAAACAGGAGACATTCCAAAGTCACACATTCCAAAATTGTCCTTTTTTTTTTTGTAGCTCATTTGAACTGTAATATTCATATAATTGTCTTTTTTGATTAATGTGCAATATAAAAATTATACATAGTCTGTCTTTGACTAGAATGTTAAGTAAGGATCTCATATGCTGCCACCAACTATCTATAAATGAATGTAGTCACTCCATCAAAAAGCTACAACAGTCCATCTTCAATTCCTTTGACTTGACATATTTCAACTCCTTTGGCAAAATGATTGGAAACGTACACAAATGTGGCATGGTTTTTGTTTTACACCTGATCATGTTGTATTTCACTAATACTTTCTGGCACAAAAAGCCTGGTAGGTGATCATATGACAGTTTTGCTTGGATCCTATTCTTCTTTATATTATCTCCTAAATATTCTCTCTTCCTCATTATCTTCTTCCCATTAGTTTTGATTTGATTTGTATAAATTGGGGTATTTCGATAAAGTTTTCCCAAAGTCTCAAGTCAGACGATCGTGTGAATCTGAATGAATACATTTCTTTTCGTCCCCCAGGTGTCGTCTGTGCTGCGGTCCTTCCTGGACCTGATGCTGGTCAGGGAGCCTTCACAGAGAGCCACTGCCCAAGAACTCCTTCAGCACCCCTTCCTCAAGCTGTCTGGTCCCCCCGCCTGCATCGTTCCTCTAATGAGACACTACCGCCATCGCTGACCTGCCAGCCCTAACTTGCCCTCCTAAACATTAAAGCCACACTCAAACACACCCCTCCAGGGTGACACTGCCCTCACCCAGCCAAAAAACCCCACCGCTCGTTGGTGCACCACTAAGAGTCACACTTGTTAACCGTGAAGTAGATTAGTTTGAGGATTATATTTTAAAAAAGCATTTAAAAACACAAGTCAGAGAAAAGAAGGAGAAAAAAAACCTTTGAATGGATCGGAGTAGAAGAGCGCACAGTGCCAGTGGAACTCCTGTAGAAACGTGGGCCGGCTCGCCCCGCTGCTGTCTTCTTTCTTCCTAGACTGTGAGTCTACAGCTCCGTGTAGTCTCATGGTAGCCATCAGCCTTCCAGAGCTTCAGAAGGGTGTGCCGAGTGGCTGACAAGAAGGATGAACTCAGGCACTGCTCAAAAGCAGAGCAGCAGAGGGCCAAACAATCAGTGTGCGGAGAGGGGCTTTGGACGGTCCTCAGTCCATCGTTAGAGGGACAGGCTGCTGCTCGGAAACAGACGAGCCCCCTTGCATCTCACACACTCAAAAGTGAAAATGTATTTTAGAGAAACTTGTAAGATTATCTGTACAGTTTTGATAATTTGCAGTATTTTATTGTGTCGTAACCATTGTGATATGGGCAGTATTAAATAGAGATCTTTCCTACTGTTTATAATCCAGTTTTTGCTTAAAGATATGAGATATCCCAAATAAACCCACCTAAACTTAACTGTTACTAAAAAAATACCTACTATATTTATTATCTCACATTTGTAGACAGAACTTCCATTTAATGTTGGAAAAAAAGGGTAATGTCAAAATTTTGTATGACATTTTAAAGTATTTATTTATTTATTGGAACTGAAGGTATATTTTTATTTTTAGTATGGCTTTTTTATTTTGTTTCAATTTTTTTGGGTTGGAATTTGATTTACATTTCTGAAGGCACATTGGCAGACAGTGATATCAGTTACTCCATCATCCAAGCAATACCCCAAACCTGTGAAAGAAAAAAAAAACACGATGCCCCGCTTTTTCTGATTCTGTAACTCCCCTTGGATACAAATGTAGCACAGACCACGTGGATTTGACATAAAGAAAAAGGATTACTCCTCTTTGACCTTTCTTTCTGTTTATATTAGCTGTATTCCTTTAAATGCAAGCACCCTATCTAAGACGCCTCCCCACAGACAACGCAGAGTTCAGGATGCAGATAAAAGGCCTCGTTTTGTACTCACATCCTCACTGTCATCATCTCACTCCTTATCCCACCTCTGTCAGACACACTCATACTATCACTGGAACCGTGCTGCCATTCCCATATCCAGCCGGACTAGAAGAACGGTGTATCCCTCCCTCCCTATATCGTTTTTACCCATCAGTCACTGTGATATGTAAATATGACCGTGAGCGTGTGAGCCTGCGTTTGTCAAAGAGCAAAAGAGGTGGAGTGTGTTTATCTCTGTACAACATCTGAAAGTGTGTTTGCGTGTGTTTGCGTGTGAGCTAAGGTGGCTACCCCTCGAAAACGTGTCTAGATTCGAATGAGCTGCATTTATCTGTGGTTTTGGCTTGTACAGTGATATTGCATGTTTGTTATCAGTGAAGCTGGTTTCAATTAAAAAAAGACATTAAAAACATTAAGCTGTGTTGCATGGATTTTTCCTTTATCACCCTCTATAGTCTCTTTCTCTGAGTGTCTCATATCAAGCAGTTTTTTTGTTTGTTTTTTTGGGATTAATTATGTTGAACGGCACACTGTCAGATTACTCTGGGGGGCTCTGCTTAATCATCACCAGTTTATTTATTTTTTTGTCCTTTTTTCGGGTCTTCTGTATTTTCCAGTTGCAACAATTCTCATTTACAACTATTTCACCCGGACTTCACCTCCCAGTTCAGAGGCAAAAAGAAAGACACATCCGTGCAATGGTGTAGCCATAATGTGTTATTGCTCTCTTTTTCTTCAAGGCCATTTCCCTCTCAAACTGTAATGGGATATTGATTTAGTTCAGCCAGAGAAAGGAGTTTTTTTTGTCTCGGGAGATGCCTGAGCCCAGTAAATAATAAAAACAAATACTCAAGTGCTGCACTGAAAAGAGTAGAACTGCAAGGCCTTAGTGATGATGCAACAGAGGCTTATGCTGAGATGTTTGAGTTACTTAAATGGTCTTTTATATAATACAAGCACAAGAAGCTTGCACCCGGTTACAAATTATCATTCTTAAAGTCAGAGAAGGGAATTGCTGGAGCTTTGCTATGTTCACATGGCTCTCTTCTGATTTGATATTCTAATGATGGGGATTTTCAACATGTCGATCAGTTGGGTCAAGATTCAGAGACGGACCGCAAGAGCATGAAATCCACCTCATTTTCACCCTCATCAATTCACTGACTGACTCCTCACGCTTTGGGACAGAGCTGTTGTCATTCTGGATAAACGCTTACATGTTTAACCTTAGGAGAAAGGAACTGTTTAAAAACAAGTTTGGATTGATTTGCAATGAGTTTTCCCATGAAAAGGAACAAAGTCAAACCAAACGGGCAAAATACTCTCCCCTGCATGGGAGAGCCATGTGTTGGATTGGGTGTTTGTTTTGTGTTGTTACTGAAAATTTAAACCAAAACAGACGTGGAGGTTGTTTAGGACTTTCATCTTCTAAAATCATTGTTGTTTGTCTTAAACAAATACTTCTCTAAAGAACTGGCCACCTCAATGTATGTCCTATTTTTTCCCTTTTTGAAAATAATTTATGGCTATCACTAACAAACATAATCTATATAGATTAAGACATATTTTCTAGAGAAAGGTGTTGGGTTCTGGCTGCATTCCGTTTAGCTTCATAGGCTTAAATCTTTGTAGTTCATATATGCTGATGTTCCGGCCTCGCGCAGGAAGCTAGTAATGGAATAGCGCAATCTCAGAGTGACCCACAACACCTGTCTCTAATCTTAGAATGATTGTGTCTATGCCAGAAAAAACGCAAGGACAAGGTCGTGTAGCGAAATGTCAAAAATAAAATGTCAAATATTTTTTTTTTTTATCAGGTCAGTAGCCTGACTTTTTAGCCAATGACTTGAATCAGTTTACTACGGAAAAAGGTCGAACAGAGGCTCGAGGGAAACTCCGAAAACGGTGAGTGAAATACTGTTTTTGAAATGAAAAAAAGGTAACAACAAACAACGGATTATCAACGGATGTTATTTTGCCATTATAGACTAGCAGAAGGATTTAGCCGTTCTAGAGAAGTTAGTCTACTTTGATATGAGGCTTTTTTTAGTGGTTCCGTGTATGTAACTGTGTGTCTGGTTGTATCCGCCGTTGGCTCGTCACGAGTTTCCGTTTGAGCCTCGCCGCCTGGGCCTCACTGAGTTTTGGACAGTTCAGTGAAGACTGTGAAGCACATATAAATGTATGTCAACAAATTAGATTAAGCCGAGAAGATGGAAGAGGATACTCTTGGCTCAGGCTATAAACTTTGTTTGTTTGTTTTTTTCTGATCTGGTGGTGTATCCTGTTTGTTTTGCTTGGTTTAAACCTTTATAGGGAAATAATGCAGAACTTTTTGATGTTTTCTCGCCTTTTGGTTGGTCATTTACTACTGCTCAATGCTAAATGTTCAACGGAGTTTACTTAGTTAGGTGCTTTGCTAAAGCAACCTCAGTTGGAATTTACTGAGGTATGTGGTCCCCTCCTCTTGTTAGGCCTGTTTTTTATTCATTTATTTATTCTTGTAAACCACACCTTTTCAGACTTGATTGATATTTCGCTCATTGTACACTGTTTAACCTTTCTTCGGCCATTTGCAGCAGTCTGCCTGCAGTGGATTCAACCCCAATTTTTTTATGGATAACTTAGAATAGTAGGAAATACATTTTTCTTTTTAACTTTCTTTCATTTCTTTTTTGTGGTGTTTTTCTTAATTTACAACCTGGTGTGGCCAGTTTATCAGCAGAAAATCGCTGTATGTTTCTGTTGTGTTGTAAAAGCTGATTGTATGTCTCAGAACTTTCATGGCTCTGGTTTAAAGAAAGCATAACAGATTGTAAATGGTGATGGTTGAAAAGCGCTTTACAATAGCATGGATAATATGTCCGTATTTCTAAATGATTATCTTAAGAGTGTTGTTAAGTTGAGAACATGCCTATGCTTGTCTGCAAGCCCACTGCAAGCTGGCATGGTGCAGTTTCCCGTCTGAAACACAGACTGTCCTCTGTCGGCGTGGTTTCAGTCATGCTGCAGCAATACTAACTCCAGTTTAAATCAGAAGTGTTGCTTAAATGTGCAGAAGCATGACAACACAGGATGAATGATTGTTTAGGTGTACTGAGTTGGGTGGGCTATCATTAACAATATGGAGGAAATTCCACTGATCCAAAATTTAGGTAAACTTTTATAAGAAATTATGTGTTATTTAAAAAATAAATATCTGGTCAAAGGAGAGATTATCTCAACCTATTTAAGTTTAATGTACTCACACAGACCAGAAAACCTCCCGACGTCAGCATGCTAAAATACATAATGAACAGGTTATTTCTAGTGTTTTGAGATCAAGCTGATTTTGGAATTGGATTATACATATATATATATATAGGAGATCAGGAAATAATCTTTCCTGAAGACTATTTCCAAAAACGATAAGTGAGCAATTGGTTTTTAAGACTAGTGAAGGATGATGATGTATGATGTTCATGCAGCTGTGTAGCAGACATAAATGTTGTTTGTTTTTAGTTGGACTTGTTCATATTGTTTCCTTAGAAGGCTCGGAGTCAGAGAACAAAATAAATGCTTCATTCCGGCACCATCACCCCTGATGGGTGCATCAGTCATCCAGTTCCAGGCTCTTTGTCATACTTTCCAATTTTTGATCTAAAGCTTTTCTGACCAACACGTGGGGAATTAAATGGATGAGAAAAGTAAGAAAATTATGGCCAATACTGTGATGAATAATGGATATAATTTGGCAAAGGAGTGTATCCAGCAGTTTATTTCAAACAGAACAGATTACTGCACACGATTGCATCAGCAGAGATTTATGCATAGACTTTCTCTCTTAAAATATTTAACATTTTTTGCCACTAAATTATTTCTCTGCATTGTTCATAAACACTTGTTTTATGATAAATTCTTCACCATGAAGTATGTCATTTGTGTGTGTCATTTAGAATTCCCTCATCTTTTACTATGTTTTGTAAATGTACATTGGTGTGGAGAAAAGGTCTGAAGTCAAAGCAATAACTGCACTTTACACTACAAGACTGTCCACTGTCAACACTATGGCTGCATTCAAGATGTAGGAATAAAAGGACTGAACAAAAAATTAAATGTTAGCAAATACAGAACCAACGAACAATAATAAAGTAATTTCAGCAGCAGTTTCAGGCAGAGAGGGGAAGAGAGGATGCGACCGCAGAAGCTCAGGAATTTTCAGAAATTTCTTTCAGATCTATTGGATCAAATGTGACTGAAGTCACGTTGAAGCAAATTATTTTTCAGGATTGCAATGGGGGGAAATGGTGACCATATTTGTTTTCATTTCAAGAACTTCAATGCTGGCTACTTATGGCATTGAGATTAAATTCAGCAGCCATGTTAAGTTTGGCTGGGGTAACACCTATGACAGGCTCCAGGCTGTCCCTGAACCTTGTTTTAGCTGTTCAAAAGCTCCAGTGGGCAGTGAAGTGAAGGCCACTCACATTCATCAATTGGGGATTTAGTCCAGCAAGGGGCACAACCCTCTGTGGTGTTAGTGGCCAGGGACGTATAGAAGACAAGTCTGTTTTCCAGGTAGCTTTGGAGTGAGCTGCTTTGCTGTTAGCTACATGTTCTTGTACATGGAGCGATCTCTGGGGAGCTGCGGCTGATTCGCTGTTAGCTTGAGGTGGAAGTGGTAGATGGTGAGCGTGATGACAATTATCAGGCCCAAAATGAGGCCCAGGATGAGGGGAAGGGTCTCCTCCAGGCGCTCCTGCTGGTCAATGATGCATTTATAGGCTGCAAAGAGAGGAATTATAAACGGAGTCAAATGCAAAGGCGACTGAACTGATGGCTTTTTGATTTATTTAAAATTCCCTCCAAATATATGAGTTGATGTTGAGGCTGTATTACGCTTCAATTCATTTTGTCCATTTGACTTGAGCAGCTGTATGTATGGCTGCAGAACCTGCTTGATGACTGAATGTACCATGGTTATGCTCAGTCATTGTAGCTGGTAGTGTGACAGACGCTTACCGTCTGGGACGTTACATGATTAGGTTTTAATCTATTCTGACTTAGCATTTTTGGAAAAACTGGGCATCTTATTTGCATTCACAAGTTTTTAATGACTTCACGCTGATGCTTGTTTTTCTTTTGAAAGCTTTTTTTCTTTTTTCCTTCATGTTAATTGCACGTGACCATGTACATGTGCATTTACAAAACTCTGCTGTTTTGTGTGAGGGAAGGAGGACGCCTAAATCCCAGTTGGCTGAAATGAAGTATAGTATGAGGTTTAAAGCTAAAGCTGTTTCTCCCGGTGGATAGCAGTAATGCACATCAGGACATGGGCAGAGAAGCACAGCCTAGTTTACAGCAGCTCAAGGCACATGATTCTGTCAAGGTGATCAGGCAGCAGCACACGGTGTGTCTTTAAAAGCTGCATTTAGGGCAGGAAATGACTTCAATCTTAGTCTTGGTGACCCCCACCTTTTTCCTTTTCTATCTCTCTCTCTTTCTGTCTCTCATCCAGTCCAACCTATTCTTTTTTTCTTATTCTCATTTCACCCTCTGTGGCCTTACATGGTACTTGTACTGTAGCAATACCCCCCCAAAGAATGGTATGTGTGAGTCCAACAGAGATGCATTTACTCTCAATATTTCTCATTACCATCGTCATCTGTCATCTTTCAATAATATGAACAGAGAAAGGCTGTGTTCCTGGCAATGCTCAGAGAGATGTCTTCTGTTGCCCTTACATTCACTGAACATGAAGTCAGACGCAATGTCGAAGGGCTGGATCTGGATGTCAGACATGGAGACTGTGACACTCTTCTGGTGGTCGCTTGAGATGAGTCTGAGGGTCTGCTGAGCCGTGCACATGTACGAGTGCCCGCCAGGGGTCACCAGGGCCGACAGCCGGTGGGTGCTGGCTGTGTGCTTTCCAGCTGGATGAAAAGATGGGAATTTGTGAGTTAGGAGCAACAGAGGGAATTATAGTGTAAAGTACTCGTACTTATCAGTATAATTGATCTCCTCTAATGTAGCTAAAGATGATATCATAAGATGATTTTTACGGTGAAATGTTAAGTGGGTTACATGTGATGGATAAAGTCAAATGACAGAAAATGTGAATTGAAGAAAAAAAGTGAAAAATCACAAGGGCTTTATTAGCACAGGATGGCAGCGAAATAGATTAATGGTATGGTTTACTAAAAAGATCATTTGATTTTTGGCGAATCTTTGGAAGAAGTTGATGATCCTGTTTCAACCACATAATGACGATAACAATTAAATGGACTAAAATCTGAAACAGTTGGAGGACATTTGATTTAAAGGACTTATTACTCAAAAGCAGATAAGTGGGAGGAAATCCATTAAACCCTGCATGATGCAGTCTAATTCCACACCAATAATGATGTGAAGGGGATGTTGGCAGGTTGCACGGAAGCAGGGGGAAGGTGTGAGAGCAGACCGCTGGAGACTCACGGTTATATGCGCTGATGAAGTGCGATGCCTCCGAGGTGTCGTACACGAACTGGACTTTGCTCATCTTCCACACTTCGATACCCTTATCACGAACCTCCTGCACACACGCGCGTACACACAATGACGAAAAAAGGATTGTGTGTAAAGGAATATGTATTTAGTAAATTATTTGTATAATATTCAATTTATCAGGACATTGAACATAATTTAAGTTATTGGTTTAAAGTTATTCAAGTTAACAAGCACAAATGTAATCGTTAATCTATATTCCCGGTTCCTCACCTTCGAGAAGTAAATGCGGAGAGTGTAGGCGTTGTTCCTCCAGGAGATGTGGATTTCTGACTCGGAGCTCCCACATTTCCCCTCGATTTCTGCGTTGCGGGGCAGAGTGAAAGACGTCTGCTCCGTGATCAGCTGCAAAAGACGCGTTTCGAATTGAGCTAAATTACGCACTGTACAAAAAATAGGAAAGCACGTCATGAGTAGTAATATTTTGGCGTCATCCTCCAGTACAAACGAACATTGCACGATTCTGAATTTCTAACGGCTTTTATATGCAGACTCGGCAAAATGTATCGGTGAATAAGTTAAGTTTAATAAGGACTGTGTTCTTCGTTCTTTATGACGGAACTTGGTCTTTTAAGCACCACTGCGAATCCAAAACCTATATCCGATGAGATGAAGTGTGCAAAAGTATTGGCTCCTGTTTATTAGATAGAAAACCGATTCCATTACTAAACGTTTTGGCTACTTCTTAAACTGTCTGTTTTCAGTAGTTCTCTCCATTTTGGGCTCAGTTTAATGGTTTTTAAGAATTTCGCCAAGGTCAGTATTTTTCCACCTGAGTTTAACTCTTGTAAAGATTGCACTGTAATGGACGGGGATTCCTCACGTCTATCCCGTTGAGCGCCAGCACGTCATATGGCACGAGGAATTTCACCGCGAACTCCACCATCAAGCAGGTCGTGCTGTTCTCCCGGACCGCGAAGATGGCTCTGTCTGGGTTGTCTGAGAGTCCGGACAGGTTCTCCCCCTCCTGCTCCGCCAGCGCCACGGACAGCGCCAGCACACCTGCGGGAACGGGGGGGGGGGGGGGGGGGGGGGGGGGGGGGCGGGGGGGGTAACGTCAACCAGCATCAAACGGTGCAGAATCAGCACTGACTGAGGAGGCTGAGGGCCTCCCGCAACTTCACATCCCTGACATGCCCCCCGCTTTGCTATTCCTCACGGTCAGGTGAAAACATGGGAATGAAATCTGCAGTATCAGGGGTGCAACAACACATCCCCAACTGCAGTCCAGTAGCGTCAGGAAGTGAGGCGCAGCGCTGCTGCTCTCACTGACTGCCCCTCCGTCAGGAGACGGGAGAGCTGCTGGAAAAGCCAGCCGGAGAGCACACGCATGTACCTTGGAATGCTTCAATACACGCTATAGTTGCGCGCGCGTGCATGAATAGACATTGCAGTGCTGTGTCACGACACCTGCACGCGCACAGACACTCACACGCAAACACACACTCCTCACTCTCTTACCAAACACACTGAGCAGCAGAAGCCGGGCGTTCTCCGTGGTGCTGAAGCCCGGTGGTCCCATCGCTGCCAGCTTCCCGGAGCTGGAGAAGGGGGGCTGCGGACTAGACAGCCTGCGCTGAACCCGCGAAAAGAAATGAAAGACAAGCGGGGAGGGGAGGCGGATAGAGAGAAAGGGGAGAGAGAGGGGGAGGAGGGTTGCCTCTAGAAGTCACGCTCAGATCATCGTGAATGCAGCAAAAGAAAAAAAAAAAGGGAAAAGTCTTCAGGTTTGTCGTGAGATCCAGTTGCCTGCCCGCTGTTTCAGCTGTCCAAGCAGACCTGCTCCTCCCTACTGCAAGGTTGGCAGGTTTTAACCCAACGACAGCTGCCAGCCCCAGCCCTCTCTGCTCACCTTAACCAGGACGAACACTGTCATGAGTCCAAAGGAAAAGTCAGCCGCTCTGAATGTGTCCCCTGTGAGACAACAGTCGACCTACAGCCCGAATCAGTCCCGCAATGCTGCTGTCGCCACAGCTGTGGTAGCATCTGCAGGTTGAACTGAAATGATGTATGTCTGGAGGGAAATGCCGACAGCCCCCCCCCCCCCCCCCCAACCACTCTGCAGAGTTGCAGCAGAGTGTGTGCGAGCGTCCCAGCTGACATGAAAACATTCAAGTCAGAGTTGACACAACCTTAATACTGTGTTCAACCTAAACCCAAGAGGGGAAAAAAACGAGAAAAAATTCATATGGCCGAAAAAATTCACAACACCAATTTCAAATGTTCAGTGATTTTCGCTTTGTAGTGTCTTTTGACATATCCACTCATTTAAGCTATTATTCGCTGATAGAATCCATTAACGAGACAGCTTACAGAAGCATTCAAGTCAAAATTGCTGCACAGCAATTTGTGGTTTTCTAGCGTTAGAGGCTCACAATGCATCACACACCCCTCCCACTCCACAAGGAGTGGCAAATGTCGCCCAGCACAAGTTAGAACCTATGAAACTAAAGAAGTTGCTCAGTGCCTCTAATCTTATAGCTCCAGTGTCCAGCCTGGAAGTGTTCATCGGCAGCCACTCAGAGTCAATATCCTAATTATTAGCTGTTTCTTAATTAGTTTATTACTTTAAAGCGTTTTACTTTTTGTACATATGTATATTTTTTTCTGAGAGCGGACTGGTTTGGAAATAATTTCGTCATATGTCAAAATGAGCCAGGAGCTTGTTAGATGACTGAATTTTGGATGCTTTTGCCAATTCCACGCCATATTATCAAAAAGGCATGGGGGGGAATTGTGCTGATCTCTTAGCTGGATCCAGGTCGAAAACATTGTAGCCTACTTTCCGTCTGTGGATGAATCTGCACCGACGTGTTTCTTTCCGCGCAGCCCACCGTGTCGTTTAAGAGTTTGGTTTTCTGAACTGAAAGTCAAATTCGCATTTGACGGAGCTGATGCTGTCGATGCTGGGTGTACTGTCCACCTGGGGATGTCTCGTGGACTGGGGAAAAGTTTCCGATCGCGGAATGCGACCCGAGGTCAACACCGGATCCAGCTCCAAATCTTTGACGTCCTTTTTGAATTCCGGGGATGTAAATCTGCGAAGAAGTTTGTTACCCAATGCAGAGAAAGTTGTAACAGCAGAGGCGCCCGTGGATGGGGTAAAATCAAGAGGTTCCGCAATGCTGTGCGACCCTTCGCGTGCCCTCACTGTTTTGGCTTTCCGCGCAGGCACCAGTGCGCGCTCCGGGGGTGTTGGGCTGAGCATACTGGTTGGCAGACTGCATCTTTTCCTGTAATAGCTTTCGTTAAATCTACGCATACCGAAGTCAAATATTTTAGATTTCTCGGTTCCCATATCACTTCTGCATGTGTTGGTGGGAATAGGTGTGAGTAAGATGGCCAGAGCTGAGGGCATGGTGCTTTGGGGAGGGTTTCTGCTGGGTCTCGGGGAGAAGAAAACAGACTTCTGAACTTCACGGCTGTGTAGAAGAGGGGGCAGGTGGTGATCTGGGGTGGTTGACATCTCTCCGGCTGGTCTAAAGTGGGGAGGACGGAAGTGATTACGGGACGCTTGGACAGGGGTCGTTACTTTAGACAAGATCGAATCCTGTGGAAGGACGGAGGGGCCGTTATCTCTTTCGAACTCCCCGATCGAGTCCATTGATAGCAGTCGATTCTGCTTCATCCGAGGCCTGGGCTGCCAGGTGCAGTTTTGAACCAATAGTTCCTGATCAGACGTTTGGAGGGCGTCCAGTTTGTTCGCTAGAATCCCCACTTCCCTCTCAAACTCATCTAAGCTGGGTTGGGGCTGCGCGTTTCCGCCGCGGCTTCTCTTGGAGTAACTCGTGAGCGCAAAAAGGCACTCTGTGTGACCAAGAAACCTTGCTACTTCCACAGCAGAGTTTCCAGCTTGGTTTTGCCTGTCTATTTGTAAACCTAACCTCTTGAAAGCTCTCACTAAAAATTCTACAACTTGTGGGTGACCTGCTGCCGTCGCATACATCAGAGCAGTGTTTCCCCAGCAGTCCTCAACCTCTGGGTCTGCGTTGTGTTGCACCAGGATCTTCACAGCGTCCAGATAGCCCATCTCACAGGCGTAGCTGAGCGCGGTGCGCCCATTCCCGTCCCGCCGGTTGACACCGGCTCCTCTCTGCAGCAGAAGCTCTATGAACTTACACCGTGTCCTGGTATCGGGTAGCAAAATAGAAGAGATGAGTGGAGTCTGAGCGTCATCCGTTTTGGAATCCACGATTTCTCCATCCAGTGCGTCCAAGACGAACCTGGCCAAATGGACCTTGTCCTGGGACATGGCGTCCAGGAGAATTTTAGTGCCCGTTTGCCCATTATCTTTTGTTTTGAGCATGTTTTCGAAACCTAGGAGAACTTAAAAAAGCAAATACATCTTTTTATTAGTGTAAAAAGCGCTTCTCCGGATCCAGTGCTGACAAACAAAATCCCCTTCCGTCTTATATAGCCCACAGGCTCGCGACAGAGAAGCTACGAGGTTGCCGTGCAACGCGTACATAATTACCAGCTTTGTTCTTCTTTCTAATGGAAATACTTTGTTTATAATGACAATAAAGAGCTTTAGCATCCGGGCCGCCGGTGCTTAAGAAGGGATCCGGCTTACATTAGTCCGCACATGTTGAATGTGATGGGGCAGCGGTGGTTATTGTTTAGGAAGTACATGCGTGGGTGCTATTTGAGCCCCCGCTCATTGCCCACACTTGTCACTGAAAATAATGAGTCTGCCTTACATTTTGACCCAACTGGAGACTTCATCATATTGCAATTAAAATACAGCCAAGAAAAACACCTGTTGCTGACTAGAATACAAAGGAGCTTTTTAGTGCAGCACATATCCAGAAGTTGCTGGTTAACGGTTCCCAGTTTGAATCTAATATAACCCATTTCCCCTAGTTATTTCATCTTGCAATTTCACCCACTTAACTAGGACAGTCTGAGAACAGCGGTCATGTTCACCAAAACAACAAAAACTGGAGTCACAGGATTATATCCCATTTTATGCCTGGATTTATTGATACACATACTATAAAACAGTATTAAAGGAGCTGGATAACAACAGTATCTTCATTGCTATAAGTTCAACAGTACAATATATAAATACAAAAACACGCACAGAATGTCTGTTGACAAGCTACAATTCAAATAGAAAACAAAGAGGAGATACAGTAGAAACCGAGGAAATTAAATCAGTGATGCTGCTTTGCAAAAATAATCTGCTTTTTCAACAAACTCCAGCCAAGGGTTACATGTAATTGCACAACAGAAACATTCAACTAGTGCAAAAAAGCTTCTAACATAATAATCTTAAACTAAACATTATCTAATATATATCATATATATTTATACCTTCATACAAATAACCCCTTAATTTTGGCATTTTATCATTCATAAAATAATTTAAACGTCCTAACGACACTGAGTGGCACATCTGAAAGCGATGGAATAAACTTTAAAAGCACTTTTACTCATTTATCTCTGCGCTAGATATGTGGTGAGACCTTAAGATTGTGTTGTGTGGTATAGCGAGGGCAGACTGGGAAACACAAACAAATGACTTAACATAAAAACCCAGTGTTTGATAAATGTCTTTGCCCAACATCCACCAGACCCTCTCTTTCCCCGAGCCCTTGAATGACAGAATGCAGCTGGTCAACAAGGAAATTAAACTACATACATTCCAGTAGAGTATATACAAGAACATCCTGTTTACCCTTCACATGTATTACATCGGAATAAAACAGGAAAAGTGAATCTTTAAAAAGGCCAAAATACCTACAAGTGCTTCAATCTCCATGTTTTTCAGGTTAAATAACATCATGACTTGGTATTTTTAAGATTTGCATCATTAATATTTCACATTTTTTAGTGGCTTTTTGTCCAACAGTGGCAATACAACAGCACCTCAGCAGAATGTCTAGCCTTTAAGCATTTAACAGTGAAGACCTCTGAAATCCCTGCTGCAACAGAGCGTGGCACCATGTCACGTTCTATGTTACAAATCTGCTCTTAATTACTGGGCTGACCAAGGCTGAACAGGGAAACAATGACAATCCAAGCTGAGGTGGCTAAAGTGCAGTCAAGAGCCTAATAATGGAGCACTTAACCTCATAATACCTTATGAGGGATTAATTGGCAAGACTTGATGGGTTAGACTTAGGTCAGCCAGTCAGTTAAAAGAGTGGACTGTTAGTACTTCGGATTAATTTTGTTACATATTAGGCTCTTTTTTTCAATTTTAAGTGCCCAACTTATGAATGAATTCATCCAATTTTAGATGAGTATATAAAGCATCTTGTTTCAGCAATATTTTTATTACATCAAACACATTTAGAGTGGCCAAAATGTAGTTATAGTGACTCATATCTTTACCTTTTGATTCCATACAAGTCACAGTCAGAGCTTGATTGAAAGGGCCATACATTTCTGCTGTTGGAATCGTTTGGAAACAAGTTGGATTAGTTCTATCATGCTAAATAGACATAGCTATCGCTTCATCTGTTTGATTTATCTGACCCGTTTGCCACAATAATCAAAGTGAATATGGAATGCTTATGATCCCTTATACAGCACTCTGACTCAAAAGGAAAATTAATTTGATAAACATACAAATTGGGTGAGGGGTTGCCACTCTGTCAAACAGTATATATATATATATATATATATTGTTTAATAAATACATTCTTACTGAGAACAGAGAATCTACAGTAGTGCACCGCTACATTTTCCACATGTTTTGACAGCCTATCACAAAAAGTGCTCAGGACAGGACTGGTGTGTAGTGTATTTTACAAAGTTTATTAATTTGTGTTTAAATGACTTTAAGTCTTATACATTTTCTCCTCTCTTACATGGTGCTTCTGTGAGTTAACTGAATACCAACCGTTTAAAAAAAAAAAAAAAACCCAGGATAAAAAAAAAACGGGATAAAAACTTAATTTCAACCATAATGAATATATGTGTATGCTTGTACCCACCAACAGTTGAAGCTTTTGTTGTCTGTAGAATTCAGACAATGTTGAAGATGAAAGCTCAGATCTACGTACACGAGAAGCAGATGTGTCTGATACTGTGAGGTAACTTTTCTTGACTTGATAAGTGACTAAGCTGTCAGACAGCAACAAGCAGGGATGGCTCAGTGGTACAAAGTTAGAAGGTGGTGCAGAGGCCAAGATGTCTAGTGTAAGAGGTGGGGAGGGCTACAGTGAGTTTGTGACTTAACATGAAACAAATCTAAGTCAAACAGTGATAGAAGCAGGGTTTTTCCTCTGTGGACTGCAGGGGGTTCTCTGTGATGGAGTGTTTCTGCGACTGTCTATGTGAACACTTGTGAAGGTGTGCGCTTGCTCGTGCCTCGTCTCAGTCGCTCACACCACTGTGGCAGGTCTGCGGTCCATCTCCTCCTCCAACTTCACCATCTGTTGTATGTCCTTGGCCTGTAAGGGGATGGAAAGCAGTCAGACAACCAGTCATGAAAAAAAACATTAAAGTCCATTTCAAAGTGGAACATTTAGCAAATGATCCATCATCCTTGCACACAATTTCAGTTTTATTTCACAACGAGGAATTAAAAAAAAAGTTTTCTATTTGGTTGAAGCTATCCAGCGCATAAGAAAGAAAGAGATCTGTGTCTGCCTCATGCTTAGTGGATGCAATTGTTGGAACAAAACGCCTGCAGAGGGACATCGTCACATGCTATGAAAGCAAAAGACTGTGAGCTGGAGTGAGAACAGAGTACATCAGTTTGTAAGCTGGCTGTTTGTGCTTAGTAATGGCTGATGAGTCATGGTGATAAATGACTCAAGCTGCTAGTTGTCATGTCTGACACTCCCAAGAGCTGCACGCTAGAAGTGGTGGAGAGGAATTCATATTAGAGGGACAACGGAAAGGGTGCCATTTCCTCAAAGACAGTTTTTTTGCGTGCTTTACTCAGAAGAGAGTCACCACACCACTCAGTGTAGCAGCCTTCAAGAAAAATAAAGCCAAATTTGAACAGGCTCAGAAGAAAACTCAGATGATGAAACAATAACAGTGAGTAAAATGACAGGGACCTAAAAGATAGACTTGAAGGAAAAATGAGAACTAAGTGGTGAACCACCAAAATGTTGGTATCAGAGGTAGAGATGACAAAGATGGAGATGCCTACCTTGAACCTGTTTGTTTGCATGATGTGATTTCAAAAGCTGTGCCGGAAGAAGCAAATTATATTAAAACAAAAAATATGCATACATGTAAGACATGTAGATGTAATGTGACGGATGGCAAAACAAAATGCAAACATGGAGACAAAAACAAGCAACATGGAAATCAATCCATAGAAGACTGTTTAAAATATATCAAACTATTATAATGAAAAGTTTTCCTCTATGACGTCTTGTTACCTGCTCATTGAATTTCTCTAGTTTTTCCAACTGTTCTCTCTGGTTTTTCTCCAGCTGCTCCATCTCCTTCTGATGCTTCATTGCCAGCTGTAGAGACACAAAGCCATCAACATTTAGCACCTGTTTGTCATCAATTTAACTTTCCAACTTTTTTTTTAACTGAGAGAACCAACTTTCCACCTGTTTGCATTACTAAATTTTGTCTGATGTTGTACTTGTACAGGCAGCTAGATCCTAATAAAATTATATTAGTGGGAAGTATTTAAATTTCTGGGTGAAACTCACACTTTGACTGAATGGCAGGGTAGATTAAAAAAAAATCAGGAAATTACAAACGAACCATATATAGTACATTTTGTAAGCATGCTGGCTGGAATTGTCCATGAAACAGTTACATGAAAGCAATTGTATGCAAGTTACCATGGAGATCTATTCTGTGCAGCTTGTCCATATCACAGTAATCATGAACATTCATATAATTTGACCACAATTATAAAGTTAATCAAGGTCTTGTAAAGACATTGAGTAGAAATCCCTGGAGAATATGAGCATTAATAGCAAGATTTAAATAACATACCCTCTTCCTCTCATCCAAGAACTTCTTTGTGTTGCTGCTGTTTAGCTCTCTTACTCTCCTAAATGACACGAGAAACAAGTATCTCACTAAAAACTCTTCAAAGCACAAATGCAGCCAAGGCTATTTCAGACTAACCACACACCCCCGTGGGCCTCACCTCTCTCGCTCTGCTTTGTTTTTGATGGACTTGTCTTGGCTGATGGCTTTACTGTTTTCCATTGACATCTTGGCCTGGTTTGCACGCATCTCTTTGCTTTGCCTAAAATTTACAACAGCATGGCAAATTGGCTTAATGGAACAGCAGAGCAGTACAAATTTGTCATATCATACAACAATACACCAACATGGACTCAGCCATAAAATGTCAGTATTCACTATGCTTGAAAGTTTGATGTGGCTTGATGTGTTTACTTCTGTGTGTGGGGAGAAGGGTGGATTTGGGTGTATCTCACCTTTCATGAATAAGTTTGAGCTGCATGGTCTGCTGCTCCTGAACAGTGGCCATGAGCTTCTTAAGGTGCTCACACTGCTGTGTGACATGAACGTCCTTCATCTCCTGCTCCTCACTGCTGTGACTACTGATCAGCTCTGACCACTCTTTGGTGTGCTGTGCTGTGATGTCCTTCACCTGCACCCACAGACACCACAAATACGCAGACACACAGTTCATTAGCTATAGTTCAGGCCCCGAGACGTCCCCACAGGAGGTAACTTTGTAAGAAAGGATGTTTTTTCCCCCAGTACCTTTGTTTTATGATCAGTGACTAGTGTTTGGATCTTATCTTCTGTCTCCTTCTTCAGCTCTTGGCAGTTGTTCTCACTGCAAATAATCACAGGATAAAGTATTGATCAAAACATTTTTTTTTCTTTTCTTTAAATGGTGATCAGTGTTTTACATCCACACACTGTAGATACAACCATTAGCAGGTAAAGCAAACACAAAATTTAGAGCTGAGAAGTCTCAGTGTATGCGAGCTATTGTGGTTTTAAACCTTGTTTCATTCCTGGAATAGAAACTGTGTATGTTTTGCTTTCATCCCAACCTACCCCCGTTTCTTGATAGCTTTCTCAAGCAGTTTCTCCAGATTTGTCTTCTCTTTATCGTGCTGCGACACCATCTTATCCACCTGAGTGCACTGTGCTTTTTGCATTATATTTTGATCCTATGGACGGAGGACATGTACTACTTCAGTGTTTATTGATACTGCACAGGTACAGACTTTATCAAACAAACACATTCCCAAAACATTCATCAGTGATGCACAACCGGGAGTTAATCCATTCAAATGCATTCATGCATTGCTGTTTGCACACTGAGTAGAAAGCCAACAGCTATTCTATTCAGTGAGCAGATGTCTGGATGATACTAATATACATGTGTTGTGCAATAGGTTAAAAACTGTGACTATTAATGAAGTACTATGAATGAGCCACAGACCATTGCAGTCTCTATGATGAGCACTGGTCAAAGGAGAACTTTAGCAAGTCTAATTTCTTACAAAACATTAATTGTGTGTATACAATGGCCTGAATTTGTTAATGTGTGCAGGCATATATACAGGGATGAAGCAGTGGTCAGTGGAAGATGAAAGGCTGTGTCATCCCCACTTGTTCCATTTCTACTCCTCTGGGCTTCAATGACAGTGAGGAGGAGCTTCTTTTTACATTATGAACAGACAGGACGACACTTTAACAATCGGCCTACCTTTGAGTGTTTCTTCTTTAAAGTGTTTAGCTCCTTCTGTTGTTTTTTAATCAGTTTAAGGTAGGTCTGCAGTGGAAAGAGACATTAAAGTTTCTCAATATGGCAGCTAATGGCAGGCCGACAGCATTGTATAGATAGTAGTTACTCTTCTCAGGGACATGTTAAGGTAATTGTACATCACATTTTACAGGCTTAATTCACACATACAATTTTGCATGAACTATCATGTCAAAATCAGGAATTAAAACACCAACCTTCATTTGCTTCAAGTCATCAATGCTCACATGAGGCACAAGCGCAGCATCTAAAAAAGTGGTGGAAAAGAATGAATCTCTGTGGATAGGTACAGGTTATATATGTTGTCTGCTCTGAAGGCAGCATTTACCTTTCTTGGTTTCAGTTGTGTTGTTTTGGGCAGAGTTGGAGGTCTGTGCCAGGTCAGAACTGGCTTGTGGTGTCACACTGGCCTTCACCGTGTCTCCTTTGCCCTTTCCCTTCTTGTCATTCTTTGAGCTTCCACTGGGAACATCTGCTATGTCGTTCTACAGAAGAAAAAATAATATTTAATATGGTGTTGTTTTCACTGTATGGTTTTCTTCTTAATATCTTGGAATTCATACTGTGTCGATCCCCAGGGCCTTCATCTGGTCGGCTCTCTTTTCTGCTATGGTTAGAAATTTCTTTGGATCTGACAGCGCATCCACAATGGCTGGAATGAAACAAAAACAATTTGTTTAGTTATAGGCGTCAGGATTAGAACATCGAGAAAGTGCTACCAACAACAGGAAAACGTGTCATTTTAAGTATAAAAATGACAAATGAAAGGGAAATATTCTCCCTGATTGAAACAAAAAAGTCCAGGCTTTGATTTTATTTTAACTGCAGAGCTGCACATCTGGTAGGGGAGAAATCTTATAAAGGGAAGCTAATAGTCACAGTAATGGCTACTCAGTGCAAGCCCCTTGGCTTTATTTAATGGCAACTCCAATTGTCCTACTCATTTGTATTCCTGTGCCTACATTAAACCGTCTGCAGATTCACTGTCATCATCATTTGTGCTATGCCATTACTGAGAATGTTAAAACTAACCCACCCAAGGCAGAGAATAGAGAGAGAGGCTATGCTTTCCATTTCTACCCTCCTCTTGCTATAGGCCTCAGAAACAGCTTTACTGTCATCCATGAATAATCTGAGAGCAGTAACAGGAAGTATTAAAGACAGTATGACGCAAACCTGTAATTCTGCATTCATACACTGATAAATACTATGCAGCTACTGCATGTAATAGTGCATGTGTGTGCTCTAGTTGCCCTCACCTCCAAAGCCGTCGGGCACGTAGGTCTTGAGGATGATTTGGCAGAAGATTGTGGGCAATGACAGAGGCTTGTTGCCTTCGTTCCTCAGGGAGATGTGACGGTAGCCAGCCTGCAGGCCATCCAGAGGCAGGATGCGCTGCCCAATAAGTTTGTTGTTGTCGTCATAAACTGCGATGCGCAGCACTGCCAGATCCGGTAAGATTACCTAGAAGGGAGGGATAAAGGTAAAGGATGGGCAAAAAGGCGAAGGAACACAGAGTGAATACAATTCAGAGGATTTAGTCATTTGTCTCCATGGACTGTGGAAAGTTAGCTCAGCTCATTCTTCTTTACAAATGGGACTTATTTTTCATAAAAATTTCACCTGTAATAAGGAATGACAAAGATTATAACTACAGATAAGGCCAGCTCTACAGTTGTCATGCATCCAGTACAGGACTAAGTCTTGAGTGCATGTGTATAACTTGCGTCTGTAGGTGATCTTACGTGTGCTCAGGCATTAGTATAAAGGAGAGTGTGCTGTTAACTGGGTGTGTGTGCTGAGATAAGTAAACACACAGGAGAGGCTGATTAATACAAAGACGAAGGAACAGTTAGAGATAAGGCTGAAAAATACTGGCTGGGGATGAATGGGTGGAAGCACGATCTCTGTGTGAGTGCTGCTGATGTGTGTTGTTTGCTCAGAGACATCTTGACAGCAGTGTGTGTGCCCTCTGGATGTGTGGTAGTATTTGACAGCATTTATATCTGAATGTGTGGAGATGTGAGAGAGGAGTCTTGCCAGCAGCTTTGGTTACGATGCCTCCGTTTGATAGCAGGGTGTAGGTTTATGTGTGTGTGAGAGCAGAGCAGCACTGCGGCAGCCTGTGATGGATGGTGTGTGTTAGAAAGCTGGAGTCACAGTCATGGCTGAGAGAATTCTTATTCTGCTGAGAGCAGCACTATTATCCACACCTTTAGCTTGCTATCTCCCATCTCTTTCAGTCTTTCCTCATTTCACTCCTCTATTTGTTTTCTCTTAGTTTTTGTGGTTCTTTTTTCCTTTCCTGATTTTTGTGAAACAATAAATACTGCAGTGGATTGTCTGTTCTCAACCCCTTTGTCTGATTCATTCTTTAAGGTTATGACTAGTTTCAACATTTATACTTGATATTACTCATTCTTCTCTACCCAACTACAACCTTATTTCCGGTCTTTTTTCTATTTCCCCCCATCCTCTGCTGTTGCTGTGAGAGGACAGAATACCTTTAACTCTTTAAAACACTTCCTCCTGCTGAAAATCAGAGATTCCTATTAATTTTAACCCTGGTTCTGACATTATAGCTTTCATCACACTGCAGGCAACCTTTATCTACATGCAGCACATTTTTCCACATTTCTCCCTCCCATTACCTTTCTGAAAACAAAGGGCTCCTCGTTGTAAGCTGGGTTGAGCCCATTGTTCATCACCATACGCGTGCGGAACTCTTTCCTGATGGTGTCAGTGGGCAGCCCGTACATGTCGACCTCAACATAGGTGCCAATTTTCTTATCCGATAAAAATTGTCCAGAGAACACCTAAAATAAGAAGGATAAAAATATTTTTTAAATGTAAAGATGGAGTCGAACAACAAATAAAATGCTAGTATCATCTATTCAACTGACTGGGATAGTTTCATGGTAATACAAAACAAAGCTTGCGTTTTTTGACATGGGCTAACCTGTACGCTGCAGTGTGCCGCGATGACGCCATCCACCGGCGTCTCTGAGAAAGGGTCGAACATCCTGTCTGACCGCCGCATAAAGTCTGGTTTCAGCAGGTACCTGACACATAGGATAGCCTCTTAAAAATGTTTGCAGATTTTAATCAAAATGTTTCTGACAACACTTTTTTTATTTCTTTATTGATCTACTAGAGATAAGAAACCTCAGCAGTGGAAGGTCCTCTGTGTGTGTATGTGTGTCTGTGAACCAGCACACAAATGTATATGATGGCTCTCAGCAAATGCCATAATATCTCCTCATATTTCCAGCATTTGCAGTAAAATCTCTGCCCCCAGGAGTAGTAGCAGACTCAAGGGACAGAGGCAATGATGGGAGAGGAAGAGACAGATGAAGGCAGAGAGACTAGTGAAGAGGACCTTCCTTTTTCAATGCACGTATTGGCCCTTGGGGCAAATAGTAACTTCTGGCATTAAGTAATGAGACGTGACCAACTGTAATTGATGAGCCTCAAAGAGAGATGGCAGGGTGGGTAAGAGGGCAGGAATAAGGAGTAGAGTTATTCTCACCCACACGAGCCGTTGTACTCAAACTTTCCCTGGTTCAACTGCATGGCCAGATCTGAGACAACAAAAGTGATAGGTGTGACACAGATTCCAGGTACTTGCTTTCAAAACAATATAACGTACTTAACCAAATAATGAACAAAGATTTAGAAAAATGAATTGGTTTGTAAATGTTGGGTGCATTTTTCTTTTTCCGTGTTTGAAAGCAGTCTCTCCCACAGTAGATGCATCTCTAGAAGCGCCTGCAGCTTTGCACATGCCCCACACAGCAAGCCATATGGTCCAACTCTTGTTGCCTTTGGACATAGGGCAGCAGCTGTTTTTCAACAGGCATTACTCACATCAGAAGTGTGTATTAGGTACTTTGAAAATGTGACAAACAAAAATGCCCCAAAAAATGGACAGAAAGGGGACAGAGACATTTAGTTTATATAAAGGCTCTAATGACCAGGTGCGTAACCCTATGGAAAACAAGGTTACAGTAGCAGCACCTCTGCATCACACTGTGATGTGTGTAAGGTGACCAATTACGATAAAAAAGGTGATGAAAATGCACACAAGTAAAAAAGAAAAAAGGGGAGGTAGTGATGGATATTAATCGATAAAATAAACACTAGCAACATTTTCCTATGTTGCATTAGTTCACAAAATGTGACCTAATTAAGAAACTGGTGGAATTAAACACCTGTGCAGTTAATAATATCTTTTGTTTTCATTGGCAAATAGTGATACATCATTAACTATAGTATATCAATCATAACAGGGTAGTTTTTCTGTCTGTTGAACACAGATATGAAACATTCCTTCACTGTCCCAGGAGTAAAACGTTTCCCTGCAGTGGAAATTATTCATGCCAACAGAAGTATTATCGTTAGCAATTTCTTTAAAGTTGAACCACATTAGCTTTGCCACACTATGCATGGGGGATCTCTTTTTCTCATAAGGTTGTGATTGAATTGTACCATTTGACCAATTTATACCAAGACATTTTACAGAAAATCATCAGATCTGTGACATGTCAAAGTCTGCCCCTTAATAAGAAGGTACCTTCTTAAAGGCAGCAGCATTGATTTAGTAGCAAGATTCTATTTTACTATTATGTAAGACATCTTCATTAAAAAGTAATGAGTTTAAATGTCTCTTCTTTTTTGTCTTCGCTCATGTCCTTTTGGATTAGCTGGGCTACAGATTAGAATGTTCTTTAACTGAACAGCACCCAGAAAAGAGGCATACATCATGATAAATAGTAATGACTGAAGCGGCAAACTGTCAAATCAGGGGGCTTTGTGGGTGCATTTATGTTTGTAATTCCCTGTATGTGCAGTAGTCGTATGGGAGTATGTTAGGTCAAAAGTCCCATGTTGCATGCTGTGGTACCTGGGGTCTGAAAGTTGAGTGAGACCATCTGGCAGCCTGCGTTCCAGAAGATCTGAGGCATGTAATTACTGGAGTCCACCCGACCTCCTTTGGGGTAGATACGGCTCATCTGACGCTTGTTGTAGCTGTGCTCATACTCAGGAAAAAATCCAAAAAGAGAGGGAGAGCATGTGTGTTCCATCTCATGTGTGCACGTGTGTATTTACATTTGAGTGTTTGTGCATGTTTGTATCAAACAGACTGTAGGACTATTTTTAGTATGAACAGCTTGGGTCAGGCAGTCCCAATGGAGAGAGAGAGAGAGGGAAAGGCAAGGTGAATGTGTGTCAGTCCAAGCCACATAGTCTAAAACATACCAGGCTCAAGAGGATTCAAGTTCTGTAACAGTGGACTGAGGCAAATATGGCTGGGAAACATCTGCTTTGACGCACCAGGAAACTCTGATTTAGGTGACCTGAATAGATTAAATTAAAACTTCAATGGCACAAAGCTTTATTTAAATGAACATTGTGGTTTATTGTGTGAACATGAGTGGGGTTTGCAATATAATAGTGTTTCCAAGCAAGCTAAAGGTTCTTTTCCAGATAAATCTATTGGACTATGCTCAAAGGATACTTGACGAACTCTATGGCATTAGTCTTCAGATAACCCAGACCAACCGACTCATTAAAAGAGGACATGTTGTAGTGGATATTCCTCTCTGAACACATTGGAAAAGAATGAAAGAAGTTGTTTGAACACAACACTATAAATGAAAGATTCAATGTGAATGAGTATGGACTTAAAGCTCACCCTCTGCCACATCAAAACTCTGAAACTTGACTGGCTGTGCATAGTTGACCATGGCGGAGAGAAATGGGTGAATGTTTGTGGTGGCTCCCACATAGGTGTATTGAGCTATCAGGGCCTCCTCAGAGTCCTCTGCCACATCCCCACCCTGCAGAGAGTGGGTACAGATCCATCTTATTCCTCTTGATAAACACAAATATGACTTCTGTTTCCTCTTAAGTACAGAGAACGAGCCTCTAGGTACTTACCTTCTTGTTACCGTCTTGGTCTGAAGCCTCAGAGATATCGGTGGCATCTGTTGCTTCAGAAATCTCTGTCACTTCATCATCAGGTACCTGGAACAGACAAATTGTATACATATGCTCGGTTTCACATTGTTTGAAAACAATTATTTGTGGCATTAGTCCCACTGCATACAGGTAGAATCACTTCCAGTCTCCCAAATAGAAAAAAACCCCAAACAAAAATGCAGTCTTAAATCAGTGGGTCGTCAGGAAAATATCAATATTTTCCATCAAAATGTTTCATTTTCCACCTTTGAAAGGTAAGAGTTAGCAACGTTGCCTCACAGTAAGAAGTTTTCTGGTTTGTTCTGCAGCTGGGGATTTTTCTGTGAGAAATTGGCAAAGTCTCCCTGTACATACCTGGGTTCTCTTCAGGTACTAAGACCTCTTTTCCACAGTCCAAAATCATGCATCTTAGGCTATTCCAAATTGCCTGCTGACTGGTATATTTTAAAGTGTTAGATGTCATGAACCCACCTTCTTGATACTGTTGCTTCGTTCTTCCTCTTTCCCTGAGCCGACTGCATTACTCTGGGAAATGCTGTTGGACTCTTTGTCACTGGTTACCTCTGATAGAATGCTGGGGGCCTCTGAATTCAAATCCTTATCCTCAGCTTCTTTTTCAATTATTCCTGAAAGACATAGTATATCCATATGTTAATAAGTTCCCATTAGAATAGCGTGTTTCATATGCGAGCTGGAACTCTTTGTGGTAGCGTACAACTTATGCTTAGATAACACACACAGCTAGACCAGATCTGAACACTCAGTATAAGGGATCATTTCTTATTTCACATGTAAACACGTGTGGTATGAGACAGCCAACCGTTTTCTGTGTCATCTTCATTCTCCTCTCCCAAAATTATGGCAGATGTGTTGGTCTCTCCTGCTTCCATGTGCTTCTTGAAGGCCTCAAGCTGCTCTGTGTTGCGCACACACACACAATTTGTCAATTACAATGCTTTTTACAAATAATGATATATTCAGAAGTTGAAGAAAATGATTTGCTGTACATACTCTGCTCAACTTCAGGTTTCAATCGTTTGTTTTTAATGAGAATTTTCCTCTTGAGCTCATTTGGAGAGGGTAAGGGGCGCCCAGGTTCCAGCTGAATGACAACAAAACCACATTAACATGTGCATGATGATCAACTGATGCTTATGAACTGTGAGAAGCGGGGTGCATCAGAAAGACAAAAAGGACTCACTGGGTAGTTTTCGAGAGACAGTTTGAGGAGAAAGTCTCCGAAAATTTCCTCACAGTACTTGGCCATCTTGTATTGCTGTGGTTTACTAATATTGGAAAGATTAAAAAAAAAAGAATCCATTAATTTACCTGGAACTGATTGTGTGTGTAATGCTATCAAATGTGTTTATAACACCTAGCCCCACTGTGTACCTGCAGTGGTTTTCAAAGGACAAAATAACAGGATAATCTGATGTAACAAATGCAGTCTCCTTGATGGCTTGGATGACATCCTGTGGTGAAAGAACAAAACAAGATGAAAGAGAGAATATTACATTATGAGAGAGCAGGAGAGGAAAACCATGGCATGCAATATCATAGTAAGAACACAAGGGGGCAGGCACAGATTAGGAAAGCTTTACTACTGAGAAAAAAACAAAAGCCTTCCCTGTAGTTTAAGCAACTGCTGCAAGTCCGTCTATTTGGTTGTGACCATCAAATCCATTTAAGAGGAAAATAATAAAACACCTCACTTGCATAATTTAACACATACATATGGGTATGCATGAGAGTCACAAGATGAAATCAGTTAAAAGTGGACATCAACATCATGAACATAGATGTTATCTGAGTGCGATCCAAAAATATGACTGTTGGTTGTCCTAAATCTGTGGATATAGGATGCAGCTGAACCACACAGCATATTTAGTTGATGGTGTTTAAAACTTATGGCTGGAGAAAGGATGTCTGCTCTGTTTTCTTTCATAATGCACTATGTAATTTCTCAGTGTGCCTCCTCTGCTCACACGTCAGGTAGGAAGAGTTAATAGGTGCATAAACTGAGAAATGAGGAGAGGGCCCTTAGTCTAGAAAGTGGCGCACTGAAGAGAGCCGCATGTACATTTTTGTTGTGTGTTCACCTTGAAAAGAATGTCAGTGCACATGGCCTTGCCATGAGTAATGATGGGTTCCTGGTCCTCTCCTTTTCCATCCCAGCAGTCAAGCTCCACACATCTGATAAAAAACACAAAGAAGCTTTACTGTGTGTGTGTGAGCACACATGAAACTGTTCAAAAGACATTACCCTAATGCATTGAATGAAATTTCAGCCATGAAAATAAATGCAAAGTACAATGTTTGGAAAATCTTTCACGTGTGTTCACCACTTTTGAACAACACTGTCACACACCTGCATCCAGACAGCAGGACCTGGCGGTACATCTCGACTGATGACTTCCCTCCAAACTGTCTGCCTGTCAGGTAAGTGTTGTGGGACGAGCTGATGAAGTAGTGGGCCAGCGATTGGTCCATGTCTTGGTACAGCTCCAATCGGTCCAAGAACACTGGAGCATTCTCGTCTGACATTAGGTACCGACAAAATCCATCACTGGACATATGACCTGGACAACAGACAAGAAGAAGGTGAAAATCAGTGGGAAGAGAACAAAATAGCCAAATAACAAATTATTGTGGTGCACTTGCGGCTGAGCACTGAAAGTATAATAAAAATATTTTTAAAGCTAAAACCTTTGTTTAACTGGTTCAAAATGCATCACAGTCATTCCATCAAAATATTAATGAGACTCGTATTTGGCGTGCTATGTCTAAGCACTTAATTTAATATGTGTACAATTTGTATATACATAATATCATAAATATAGATTCAAGAAGATGACAGGGGCCAGGATAAAACACAAGATGTCCAACTCAAGGAGCATCTCAAACTGTTGGAACAAAGATTCATCAACCATGAACCTTTTTTTATGACATAATGATGGTTCATAAAAACACCTTTTTTTTAGAAGTAACAAAATGGGATATTTTACTGCTCAAGTCTACACTAACAGATCACAAAAGGAATCAAATCTGCTTGTTTACCTTTCTTCTTTAGCTCTTCATCTCTTTCATATTTTTCAATAATCTGCATGGCCCTCTTGGGATCGTAGAATGGAAACAGAATCTCATTTAACCTTGGGTCGCGTTGGTTCTGTGGAGCAACACACAAACTCAGTCAAACACGTTTACTATGAGCAGTTAGTGCCAAACATAAATCAAATCTAGATGAAAGACCATACTTAGGCATAGGGCACTGAAATAATTTAATTCGAGATTAAATACTGCAGCCTTGAATGGGAACAATTGGGTGTTTGTATCTTAAAAACAAGGCAGCCATATCTGCTGGAGGGGTTCGAAGCAGCTTTAACAACACAGCAGCATCTAAACATCACTATGGTGTCACAGCCCAAACTTAAAACCCGAGGGGAATGAATCCGATTGAGTCCAGGACCTAAAGCAGCACACAGAGGCTCGAAGCAGGTATTCAGCCACAGAGAGGAGGAGGCCACATAACACAAAGCGGGAAACAAGATGAACCAAACAGGACGCAACAGGATGGAAACCTCTACCCTCCTGTTGTCATGGCAACACCAATCAGGCACTAGGAGGCAAATCATGCTAGGGAGAACATGGGGAATGGGATGAGGCTGGGCATGCAGAAGAAGGGAGCTGGTAGAAGTTGCCCTTGCAGGCTGACTGCAAGTGAAATATTTTGTTTAAGTTTTACTGATGGATGCTGGGCTGGAGGGCAACTTCTACCCAGAGCTGGATGGGAGGAAGCCATGGGAGATGCAGATAGGGGCACGCACAAGCCAAATACACAGACATGTTAATGAATAATAAAGAGCTTACTTCATTGAGAAAGCTGACTAACTGGTCTACAGTTAAATAATCAGTTTTGCTCCCATTGCTGTAAAGGAATTAATCAGAAAAAAAGGTTATGCTTCTTAAAATAAACACCCCTGTAGTCATTCACACAGTCAGTTGTAATTAGAAAGCGGTCCTAACACAGAGATAATCCTAAAGGTTACATTTTAGTTATGGACTGTTAAAACATATCTTTGTTTTTAAAATGATATTAGCTTTAAAATAATCTAATGCTGAACTGTTGAAGCAGGTTAGGCTGTCCAGGCATAGTTAGTGCAGCAGGCACGGCAACACTCGCCCTGATTATTTCCAACTTATAAACCAGCTCATGTTTGGGGGAATATCTGTCTATCATTACTCCCTTTAGACACAAATAAACAAAGGCAGAGTTGTTTATTTGGTGGATTTCTTGTACTCTGTCATTACTTTCTCGCAAAATCCGCATCTATAAAACTGATAAAGAGAGGCCAAAAGAGCAAAGAATATAAAGTAACCCACATTTTCTTGAAGAGTTCCTCTATATCTGTGCGAGGGCAGATCTTCTGTGTAAGTGCGTAGAAAATGTCAAAGGTGAAGTCTGATGGTTCAATCTCGTCATTCTGTGGAGGAAAAACAGGGAGCGTATTTATAGTTTTCTTTTAATCCTTTAAGTGATTGGGTCGACGTTTCAGCTCTCATCATCGTTTAACCTTTCCACTAGGAAGGCCAAGATCCTTCAGAGCCTGGAAGATGCCCTTCTCTGTCTTCCCCGATGCAAATGTGCGTGTAATGCTAAAAAATGCATGACAAGGAGGATGGAATATAAGGTTGAGAACACAAGTGAGCTAATCACAAAGTATATAAAATGGGTTCAGACAGGAAATCACACATCCCTCTTACCCTCTCACAGGAATCTTCCCATTGACGTTGGTTAGAAAACACATTCTCATCCAACTAAATAAGAATAGTTAACAAAAAAAGAGATCAGGGTCAGAGAATATTAAAGTAATCAGGCTGGGTGAGCAAAACAAAATGATACAAGGCATAAAACATGTTAAAAAAATACTGACTGCTTTTTCAGGCACGTCATCGGACACACGTTGTTGGCCTTAAAGTTGTGGATCACTGACCTCAAACCTTCGATCCACTTCTGCAAACATAAAAACAGAACTACTGAGAAGACATTAAACTCTCCTCAAAATATAAAACAAACCACACAAAGAAATCATACAGGTTCCATTTAGCTCTTTGCTTTGAGAATCTATTAGGAAGAAAGCTCACTAAGAACTATTATCCATAGACTTTTCAGCATCCTGTCTTTTCTCTCTGTCCCTCAGCTCCTCCAGTTCCACAGCAAACGATTATTGGCATCTTTACAAAGACATTCATTAAGATGGCCGGGGCAGCAGGGGTATGGTCTGCATGGCATGTTTGTGTCTGCTGGTGTAAATAGGCCTGTCTTCTCCTGAGGTCTTCAGCTGAGAGCCACCTGCATGCCAGGAGGTGCTGATTGTGTGGCTGGGAAGACTGACACAGCAGTAACGAATGAGATTGAAACTACTGGGGACTAGAGCTCATCTCCCTGAATCTGAGCTTCTACAACGTATCAGTGTTTGTGCTGCAGTTGTAAGGCCTCCCCGCTGAAGGCTGCTCCATGATTGGCAGCCCTGTGGCAGCGAGCCCTCTGGAGCACAACAACATTTCCAGTACCAATCAACACAAAAAACACACAAAAAAACCCTCTCATGGGTAATGAATAAAGACCGACAATGCAGTGCTACATTACAAATCTGCGGAGAAATAGTATTTATTTTCTGTCGTATAGCTGTTTTTTTTTTATGGATATAACACTTGTAACAGCATGATTTGACTTTCAGTCATGGTAATGGCATTATGTCTTCATTTTTTTTCCTGCAATTAATTATTTTTAGACAGATCAACTCTGAATAATCAAAACGTTTCGCCTGCTGTTATTTATTTCTTTAGCTTAGAATACATGTCTAGGACTGTGTTAAATGTGTGTTAAATAGAAGATGAAGCTTCTTGTGTAGTTTTTGTCCTTCTAATTTTGATTAGGATTTAGACATTTCAGTTCACTTTTTGAGTATGAAGAGCAGTTGTCGAGATGCCATCTCTATTACATAAGTAATCTGAGCTCGAAGTAAAAGAGAAAATGACAAAAAAAAATGGAGCATCAGGGACACAGCCAGATACGGAAAGAAGTGAGAGAAAGAAAATGATTGAATTCAAAAGTGTTAGAATTTTTCAGAGTGAATCAAGGCCTTGTGTAGGAGGTGGAAAAGGGACAATTCTACTGTCTATTGATTTCTGTCCGAGTGAAATATTAGTGTTTTTGGCTGATGTCATATCATCCTTTGTGCACAGCATTTTGTTAAGGAATTTCAAACACTGACCAGTAAGTTTTTTTTGTCCATTTATGCTTTTGTGACCAATCCAAAGGTCCATCAAAATGTTTTAGAATTGCAAACTTCAGCAATGACATGAAGTTTGGTGTTGCAGAATTTTTGTGACTTGTTTCACTCCCACAACAATTAGAAATACATAAATAAATAATACTTCAAGTGTAATCTTAAGATGGTGCTGTGTTGTCAATCCTCCAATTTAGTTTGTTGTATGAAATCAAATGAAAGCATATGGTTTACCCTGGCTGTGTCAGGGCTCTCTGCCACCATAAACATGAAGCTGAGGTTGACCAGGTCTGTGCCACTGCAGATGCAGATGATGCATCCCTCAAGGTCCGCCTCTGTCTTTCCAATGGCCTCAAATGACGACAAGATCTTTGGGTCCTGTGGAAAAGGTGAAAGAAAGAAATTAGAAGTGTTGATGTCATTCGTCTTCAAATAGTGCTCCAGAACATTGGACAACAGAATCGCTGAAATAATTAAGGCTTATGTTTAAAAGATGGGGCAAAATTGCCCCACCATGTGGGATGAAGACGTCATCCAGAAAATGACCATCTAAAGTAATTACAATACGGTTGAAAAAGTCACTGAATCATGAAGTGTACTGTGTTTCCTGGGAACCAAGACAACTGAAACAGGGCGCTCTCTATTTGATATGACAGCACAGGGCTTTAAATGTAAGGCTAAAGGAATTACAACAAGCAAAGGTAAAGGTCATTTTACATAAGTTATGATAGGCAACAACATTTTCCCACGTACCCAAAGTTATCGTGATAACTTTCTTTAGAAAAAACCTCCAGCCCCAAAGAGCATGACACACGTAATGTCCAGTCAGTAGAGCATAAAACCCTGAGAAATTCACTGTAAACACAGAGGGCCGCTCCTCCCTCCCATGATCTCAATCAGATTTCATCCTGCTATCATCATCACCGTGTAAGATCGTAATGTGTGCTGGTTAGATTATTGAATTAACAGCAACAGGCAACCGGGTATGCAGCTTTAAAACCCCAGCCAGAAACCATCCAGCCACATTCATCTTTGTTCACTCATTAGATTATTTGAAACAGCTTGCAGGGCTTGTGGAACCACGTCATCCTCTGAGGAGAAGTCCTGCTATCGCTCTTCTGCTACTAACAAAACAGTGTGCAGCTTTGGACAAACAGTGGAGCTGCTATCAGGCCGCAGTATCTGTATACGTGCCCTCACACATGCAGATAAACCCCACGTCCACACAGAGGACCAAACCAATAGGCTTCACTCGGCTGTATATAACACAAGCAGGGAATGGTTATGTATAGGCCACTTATACATTGCCTCCTGTCAGGCTTTTGACTGTTGTAGCTTGATGGGTTTGTACTCCAATTAGGGGAAAGCACACACATGGGTTTCTAATAACAGCTGGCACCAGGCCAAATATTACAGCATAATATGTCACTGTCAACGCTACGCTGCGTGAATCAATATTTAATATACAGAGAAACCCCGCAGGTTTGCGTTTGTGTGTCTTTTGCTCCATATCTACTGAATAAACAAATGATTGGTTGCCAGCTGCAGTGAAAATCTAGAATAACGCTTCAGGTCAATACGCCTCGGCTCCTTCAGCCTCAGTTTCCTATTATAAGATAAGGATGAGTCTTTCTGACAGAGACAGAACGTCTTTTACCTCTGAGCCGATCCAGTCATGCAAAGTCTTTAACCTTGTGCTTCTCTGACAGCTTATCATCACAGATGCACAACTTTTCATTATTCCGCTGTGGGTCAAAAGCACAAGTCACGGCTGCGAGAAACTGTTTCACGTACAACCTGCGGGTGAACCCAGCCTGGGCTGGATAAATATTAATGAGTTCAATTTTTAATGTTTATGTTGTGCTGGTGCCCCTCATGAATCTGGTACTTGAGAGAGAGGCTGAGCAGTTAGAAATCAAGGGGAAGCCTCAGCTAGAATATACCCGTGTAGCCATGCTAATTTAAGCATGAATAATAAGCCTGACAAGACAGTCTCTCTCGATTTTAGCTAGCGCTTCAAGACGGAGCAAAGCCTGTTCGGTTCGGCGGTGTGGAGCAAAAGCATGAAATTCATGAGAGTGGAAAAGTGGAGAAGTTCTTTCCAAACGGCTCACCCTGGGGACACCACCGACACGAATGCTGTTGATGAGGGAACACTCAAGAACCTGGCCTTCCTGTAAGAGAAACGAACAGGTGGAAAAACAAAGGAAGCAGGGAGTGGGAGAGGGGACATATAAGGCAGAGCATGAGAAAAAAACAAGGCTGATGGGTCTCTGTGGATTTTGCTTAAGGTCATTACTAGAATAAGCTGATCGTTAGAACAGTTGTACAACTGCAAGCTCATCACAACAATTAAACAAATCAAGTATTAAAATACGTTTCTTTTACTTTGCGGGTTAAGAATAGCTGAAGAATAGAAAAGCCAATAGGTCACTTTTCAAGTTTCATTCATCCCCAAAGCCAATGTGAAGATAAAAGAGATATTGCAGATACATGAACCAGCCTCTGGTAAATATTGACATGTAGAATGTATCTTTAATTTTGTCTTCGAGAATATTTTCATACTACTCGTCATAAATCAGAGCAGCCTGGTTGTCTCGACAGTGAGAAATCAATCTAAACATCTGCTGAAGGCTGCGATCGTGTTCCCTGTGACATGCTCTTCTGCGAGTCTTTCCAGGAACCCCGGTCTGGGTTAGGGCTGAATGTCAGAAAATAAAGCATGAGGACAAAACGATCCGTAAGGCAGCGTAATGTGTAAAAGATGAGGAAATGGAGACCGCACCTTTCCCTCACTCTTCCAGGTGATGAAAAAGCCATATTCGTCCACCCTCATCTGACAGTTGGGCTCAAAGATATATGGATCCTGAGGAGGGAAAAGCATTTTTTTTTGTAGAAGATAAGAGGCTTCATTGATCGCAGTTTCATGTGACACAGCCACACATCGCACAACAAGCAGACATTGTGCAATCAGACAACAAGACGAAGCTCTAATATGTTTTTTAAGAATCAAAAGCCTGCCGATGGACACACTCATACAAACAGGTGGGAAGTGCTGACATCAAGTGACTAAATAACTACATTCAGTATCTACAATACACGTTCAGAGGAGAAGAAAATCTACTGTGAAAGCAAACAGCGATATATACGAGTGCCATTATTTACCATACAATGCAAACATCACTGATCCAGAGCAGCATTTTACCTTTAGCTTCCAACCCCGGATGAGCAACACCTACCTGTCAACCAAGACTCTCTGCCCAGATGCTGAGTCTGTGCACATTTAAAACCTATTTATGCTACATCTGTGCAGGTGAAAACTTAAGAGAAAAAATAGAAAAGGTGATTGCTGCTGGGTCACTCCTACTCTATTATTGGTGATGGGGAACAGTGCGACGCACTCACACACGCGCCAACATGTAATGTATTATTTTAGGATCCTGCAACCATGAGATACACCGAGGACAGGGCTGGCTTGTTATTTGACCGTGCCTGACATCTAAAACCACCATAAAAACCAAGGGAACAATCATGTTTCCATTTAGGCTAGCTGTAAGTGCAGTTAAAAGCCTGGGACTCTTTCATCTGAATTCAGACTGACAGAAGCTTCATTTTACGGAGTATCCTGCTTTATGAAGGGGATGGTCTAAAATAATCCCTGACTGCAAAACACACTCAGCAGGCTACTGTTACACTTTCAGGTAGAGCAAAGGAGCCTGGGGTCCAGCTGTCTCCTCTGGATGGATGGATGGAACCTATTTATGATCCAGCTCCAGTTAGACATATGTTCATTCTCCTCTGCATGACAAGTTACGTGCAGCTCAGCGTGTGCATGTGTGTTGAATGTCCTGTTTTGTTTGAAAGTTAGATCACATATTATTCAAAACAGGAAAAGACACAAGACACTTCCACAGGAAAAGACCTCGAACAGAAGCTCAACAGCAAGTTATCAGAACCCCTTCTTTTGACAGAAGTAACTGCCTGTGTGTTTTCAAGTGTCTTGAAATTTTGGATCGTTTTTCTCCGAGTTCAGCTGCTGCCGATAGGAGGCTACTTAGTCCCTATGGAAACCAAACATTAGCCAGATCTGACGTGATGGATTTCCAATCAGTGAGGTAATGAAGGACACACACCAGGAGGAAGCCCTTTGGCTCATAGCATGATGGATTACACAAGATCTCTTTAACCTTTGACTCCTATGTTTCTGGACTGTCAGAGACAGAACACATATTAAATGTTCTACTCTAAGACTAACAATTTGTATTTCCAGCAAATCTAAAGCCTCTCTAAGGGAAACAAAAAAGCATTGAAGGGGAGATATGAATGGGCAACTTTATCTTTTATTCCAAAGAAGGAACAAGACGAGTGGTTTTCTGGATAAGCAGTCCTAACATGATAAGATATGGTGTACGGATGCACACGTGCAAACAAAGGAGCAGGTTAACACAAAGGCACATTACCTGCCTCAACCATCTGTATGTCAGAGAGGTTTAAATGAGTGGAGAACCCCCCCGCCTGAGCATGTCTGCTGCAGAGCTGGCCTGCGTCAGCTAAATGTGCGTCACTGCTCCCGCAGCCTTGATTTGATTTAGCGACTCTCAAATCACCTTTCAGATTGGAAGAATTGATTGAAAGCATGATATTATTATTGTTCAGAATTGAATAATTCATTAATCAACCTCAGAGCTAAAATGGTGGCGGTGTGTCTCATGTGACATCATTAAAGCTGACTATTTGGAGGGGGGGAGTGACTGATGCTGCCCTTATTACCATTCTGGCCAAATCCTGACCCCGTCCTGCCTCAGCTTGGCTCCAAATCACAGCAGAAACACACAGAGGACCCCTTCAGAGGCCCGGTGGCCCGGTTTCAGTGCTGTGGAGTTGACGACGGCTTTCAAGTTTGTTTCTCTCCCTAAGAGGGATCCTCCTCCACTTTCTGGCGCGCACACAAACTGAGAGGACTGAGGGGATTTCCTGACGTGCATACCAATCCGTGCACGCCTCATTCTGAGTTTGGACGAGTTAGGGTGACATACTTTGATGATGCACGTCAAATGTCCTACCTAGGTGTCCTGATTAAATCAAGCAGAGGAAAATTGATGACATAAATGATGATACTGGGAAATTTTTCTTAAAAAGATCTCAATCAACGATTAGTCCAGATTAATTTTAAATTACAAAGTGAATAGTTCCTAATGATTTAAAATTATTTTTGATGCGCTCACCTGTAAACAGTTATTCATTAAGGAGAACTTTGCGAAAAACATTCCACACGCTGCAGAACCAAAGCAACCTCTCTAAAACCATGACAAACTTTATCTGCCCAAAGGAGCACGACATAATATTGTTTTTCTTTTTCACCTCTTGTATTTTATCCAGCCATCTTATTTTTGTATTGAATAATCTTATTTAAATATTGAGATAGTTTTTTTTTTTTTTTAGTGTATGTTTGTCCCTGCAGCTACTGTATCAAAGCGGTTTCCAACGTCTAATGGAAATGATTCCTTCTACAGTGGAAATACTGGTATTTTTTCAGTGAGCATGCAGACAGGCAGTCACCATGCTCGAGCTTCATAACGAGCAGATTATGACTGTATGTGCTGGAGCTCAGCTGCTACAGTGATGTATCAGGTTCTAAAGGAGACGCTTGTATTACACCTGTTTTAGGGATTTACACAATCACCCTGGGGCAAAAGGCATATTGTCATCATACAAGTTATTCCATTGTATTGTGAAGACCTGGTTTAAGACTCAGTTGTCTGCAAATAAAGCAACGCAACTGTGCTTGTGCATCCACAACTAATGACAGTCATTAAAGTGATGGATGATAATAGGGCAGAGCAAATAATCAGTTGGGTTATTGGCAAACTGAGGAGCGCAAGACACACTAAAACACCTCCATCACGTCTCCTGGGTTATTAAAGGAAAGTAGTTCTGTCTGACATTTACCTCATCAAACCTGTCAAAGTAGACGCCTTCCTGCATGAACTCAGGCAGGTGCTTCTGCCAGTTGAATTCGTAGGACTTTGTCATGGCTGCTCACAACCCTGAAACACACATGAAAGAGGGACAAAGTTAGTGAAAATCAGACAAGACTAGAGACAGTGACACCTGAGAATATTCATTCATATACCATCTGTAGAAGCAGAAATACCAGCAAGTGATGAGAGGGCCCTGTTCGAACGCTGATGCATCATTCAAGATTAATTTTAAGTTCAGTGTATATAAATATTTTTTTGCCTTGGAGTGCTGGACAGAGATGCTGGCTTTAGGATTAAGCCAGGATCCCTCACCAGTCAGTGAAGGCAGTTTTAAGGAGCTAATCACAACCTACACAAAGTCTTAGCATGTCAGAATGTGAACCTGATGTCCCCGATTTGTGGTGAGAAATAACGAGAAAGGACAGGAGGAGGGAACACAGATAATCATATGGGAACTCCTGGATGATACTAACAACAGACTGAATCTGACAGTTGAAACGTCTCTGTGGGTGGAATTTTCCATTAAGTCTACTTTTATCTCGGACTTGGCCTGAAAGCATCTGGATGTACACTGAAGCCCCCTTCAAACACAAAAAGCCAGTCAGGCTTGATTCATGTGACACCTTGCACGTGTAGCACCATGCAAGACATCCAGCTCAGGAAAGGGAGAAGACAGGAGGGGGGGGGGGGGGGGGGGGTCCTGATAGAAAACTGTAATATTGTTGATGACACCACTTAAATATAGGCTCTCCTTACGTCAGCCTTAAATGTGTCAGGCTAAACTGTGAGGGAGAGGCACACTTGAGAGCGTGACATACTATGTATAGTCTGAGAGCTCGGCTGCTATCAAGTCATTATGGGAATACTGACTGAGGTGTGATTTGATTTTGATTAGGAGAGCTTTTAGGCTGTGGAGATACAGAGAGGATAAAAGGCCTAACATACATCTTTGCACCATGTTAAAGAGCAGACAGCATTCTATCAAAGTATTCAAGTTCACCTTAACAAAAGGCTGAACTTCGACATTTTATGCAGAGAGCATGCATTATTATCTACCTTGGAATAAAAAGGAAGGGGGATGTTGATGGGTGAGACGTTATCAGAGACAGAGAAACGGAAAGAGACGGGAGAAGAAAAGAAATGAGTGGGACGCAGAATGGGAGAGGTTTGTAGAGACTGGGGAAATGCATAATGGATAGATAAGAAATTAAATCAGAGAAACGAAAGTAAGTGGCAGTTATGAACCCAACGACAGATGGAAAGAGGTGAAAGATGTGGCAGACAGATGAGAGTGACATGAGAGCCAAGACCTAACAGTGGTGGGCAGAGAGATGGAGGAGTGCGGCAGCTGTGTGTGACAGGGGCTGGAGAGGCTGAGGGAACAGCAAGGTGAGAGCGGGGGGGTTATTTTGATGTGAGGAACCGAGATGAGATGCAGCATCGACACAGGTTACAGAAAGCTACCTGCTGTGCATGACACAGTCCACCACCAACGTGACAAACACTGACAAAACTGAGACCAAGCGATTCAGAGAGGCAGCTCGACAGACAGAGTTAAGGCCCAACGCAGGTGCAGGACAACATGCCGTGATTCAGCTGTGAAGCCATCACAGAGTTAAAAAAAACAACAACAAGCGCCACCACTTCGCAGTGCTGTGGGAGGAGAGGCATCCAGACCAGGTCAGCATACCCGGTGATAAGCAAAAATGGGGTCAAGCACAAACAAATAGCTCCAAATACTTCCTGTGACAGCGCGAGTGCCACAAAATATTAAGCAGGCCTGCAACACGGGCGCCTCCCCGTCCACCATCAAATACCAGTAAAGCAAAAATCTATCTGGAAATGATTCACCAAGAAGATTCACATCTCTAATTTGAACTAATTGGGTTGTGCTGTCCTGTCTGATGGTAGCCTAGATCTCTCCACACTCACAGTATGCATTAGATAACATTTTCCTCAGCGGCATGAAATCCCTCCAATAGCAGCGCAGCCATGGAGGTTCTGTGAGGCCACGCCAGCCCCAACGCCGGGTCTCTGAGCTCCAGGATGTGCGAGTGTGCACGTGAGGAGCCGAGGGAAGCTAAAGGAAGTCAGCGAGGTCCGAGCCCCCTGTCCAACCCCTGACAATGAGATAATTACGACAGATAGGAGCCCCGTGAGGAACGCTGTTCCCAGCTTCCTCGTCTAAAATTGCAGCTAGGGTAACACCCAGCGGTCCCACACCTCATAAACTAAAATTAGGCTGGAGCTACATCAGTCAGCCAGTGGTGGAGGGGTTGACTGGGGACACACTAATATGGACATAAGTGACAACAGCGAGAGAGAGGCACACGAGACATCAACCAAAGCTCTTTTGTTATGTGTAATCCACTTCAGGTATTATCAAAGGACGTTAAAAATAACCGAGATAACGGAAGCTGGGGGGAACAGGTGATTTTAATTAAGTGTGTTTTACACTGCATTTGATTTGACAGCACATTGTTTATTCCATATTTCAAATCATTTATGGCAGCATTTCACTCCAAGTACATCTATAGTCATGCACATTAATCTCGACTGAATCGAAAGCCCAATGCGAGAGCCTCAGATGGTTGGTTTTGAAATAAGTTGTGAACAGCAGTATCTCCCCTCTAACTCTTTAATTCAGAAAAAGTAAACAACGGAGCAAAACATGTTGCTCAAATTAAGAGGGAATCAACTGGCTCGGAGCTTGGGAGAAGCAGAGCTTTACAAAGATAATTAGCAGCGCCACAATTTTATCATGGAAGTCCAAATCTGGTGGGCCTGACCTTTAGAAGTACATATATTGATGGGCTTGTTGAACAATTTGTCACCATGTAGAGGCTCCCTCTGCCTGCTTTCAAACACACTAAAACCACACCTCCTCCAGACTGATAAGAACTTTTTTTTTTTTTTTTTTAAATCAATCACATTCCATTTAACCATTCTTACCATCAAAAGAGCCAATTATGTTTAATGCAATGTACTTAAAGGCAATCTTGTTTGACAAAAAAAACAAGATTTTCTTAGACAGGGAGCATGATTTTTAATCAAATCTCATCTTACCTCTGTATGTATTGAATTAAATGATCTGCATGATGAACCTGTGATACAAATTATGTGAGTTTAGTGAATTATCTCTACTTCTGCTCATTTTTGTTTCCTTACCATCAGCCAAGTTCTTTCCGAGCTCTTCCTGAGCTCTGTTAGCTTGAACAGTACAACCACTAGCAGCCATGGAGTTGCTATACAGGAAGTGTGATGGGAATCATAACTTTTTACTGTTGATTTGTATATCACCAACTATATCAGAACAGAATCTTGAAAAGGGGCTTTAAGGGCTGGCAGTACTGCTGGTTTTAAAAGACTGTGTGACACACCTGAAACCTCTCACTTGTTTTGATGAAAAATGAACACATGTTTGGAAATGTTTAAATAGACACATAATTTTTACAGAGAAGAGAGAAGGAACTTTTTCTCTCACTTTTCACAGATCAGCTAAGCTTTGTTCAAATGCGTGTGCTTGTAGTAATTTGTCGAACCTGGAGTCTCAGGTACTTCTGTTCCCCACTCACTTCGGTTCGTTTTTTGTATGCTGGTGCAAATGAAACCTGACCATTACAATAATGTCTGGTATGACAGCTCAGAGGTGGTTAGTTTATAGATGACTTGGTCCACCTACCAGGAAAAAGCAACAAGGCTAGCACATGTGTCCAGTCGATATGAATGTGGAACTGCTATATTGGCCTTTTTCCTTTTTTTCAGCTTCTCAGGTTAAGCAGCAATGCAGAACAAGCAGACTCCCATGACAACAGACTCAACCAGCATGACAGCTCCTTCTGAGACACAGCAACAAAAATAAAAACACCAACAACACAAACAAAGAACTCAGTGTTTTGATTTGGCTCCACAATTTCCCCACAACCCAATCTGATCAGGCTTTTGGAACAAGCCTGGCTATAAACCTTACGTCTGTGAAGGGGTCGCATTAAAGTGCATCAGCTCACATCCATCGTCCCTCAAGAGTTTGCTCAGTGTCAGTTGTTAATGTTAGAACAACATTATCAACTGAAAAATAATCCCGTCTTAATCAGTGTTTCTGATGGTCACTGTGTTTGAATCAGAACAATACAGCATCACAACTTTGTTTGCATTACATATGAGTAAAAGGAGGAAAAAGACCAAAACACTGTTCTAAAAGGAGAAGCTACAGTCAATTTCTGTAGCTCGAAAAAGCTGCTCATAGGAACACAAAGCCACTTCCAACATTTTTCAAACCTTCCAATTTGCCTGATTAATAACTTTAATGCAACTCTTTTCTGATTCCGGATTTGGATAAAAGTAGGTACTTATTCGGAGGGAATATATGAATTGTTTCAGAACGACTTCTAAGACAAGGAGGCTAAGCAGTGTACATTGTGGCTGCTGCCATCCTATCGCTAACCAAAGCAGACAGAAAAAGCTCACCGGGCACCATATCCTTGGAGCAACAGGCTGCCCTGAGACTGCTAAGAGACGACATCTGCAACGTTCATTCAATATCACAAGCAGATTATGGCATCCTGGTGGTGGCAGGTTTGTTCAATTAAATTACCATGAATTAGATTTAACGCTACCCAGAGTTAAAATCCACTCAGCAATCTCTGTTTTGCTGTAGTTTGCTGCACGTAGCGGGGGCACAGCACTCATGCTCTAAGAGCCATATCATAAAACTGGAGTGTTGCGTTTGATTCGATGACAGAAGGAGTGTTTTTATTACAACCGTGACCCCTGTTCTAAGAGTAAACAGCCCATATGAAGGAAATCAATGCTAATATTGCCTGTGTTTGTTTCTGCATTCAGTTTTGGTGACTTCATTCAGGGTAGGCGTAGAGGGTGGGCCCTGTTTGCTGGGTAAACAGGAGTTTAACACGGATGGAGATCCTGTGTCTGTATGCTTGTGTATACACTGTTTAAGATATCTGATTTCACAGGCTATTTGACATCCTAACGCCCGACAGCAGCTCAGCAACCGGTGCACATTAAAGCTGGCTTCTAGGTTAAGAACAGTTTCAATGAAGAAAAAGCTCCACCTTCCCCTCCAGGTGTAGACTGTTCATGTCTGCGGATGTCTCTCCATGTTTGTCCATGCCCACACCTATTTGTCTTTCTTCCTTAGCCAGTTTAATCTAAGCAGCCTAAGAGTCATTTAAAGAAACAGGTGGTATCCATCCTTCAAAAGATGGTTTAAGCTCTAAGGTAAGACAAGAAGGCCTGGGATGACAATTTTTTTTACTCTAAACTGTCTAAGAAACACATTTCAGGCACAAAATGTTGACACATTTTTCTGTCTTCCTCTGAATAAAATAACTTGAACAACAAGAGACTGCACTGAAATGAGAAGATTGTGTGGTCTTTAGTAGCCTTATATAAGGTTACCCACCTAAAACACTCAGTTGAACGTCACCAGAAGCCCAGAGTTGATCTCATTCCGTGAAAATCAGGTTATTTTAAATAGGGAACATTATTTCAACTAAATTAATTATAGAATTTTTAAATTGAATTATTTAAAACCAATCAACCTGGACAAAAAAGAAAATAGCAAACCTGAGGGATCACTTCAGTCATATTACAGGAAACTGCTCATGTCGTAGTCTTCATCTCGTCGCTGACATCTGTTAACTCAAAAAGAGCCTTGTTAGGCTGCTTTTGTAATTCTGGTGGAAATTGTTTAATAAATCCTATGATTTGTCTCATCTGCCATTAGTTTAAGTAATTGGCAAATGGGAAACATGCCCTAACATTTTTAGGGCTTTTTAAGCAGTATGGAAATGTTAGACTGAGGCATATACATTCCACTTATCCAAGAATGGTCTGTTCATCTGTTGCTTCCTCTTTGAAACCTCATATTATCAGCCTTTTTTGGACTTGTAAAGTAAATCCCTTAAACAGGATCCACTCTAGATCCCCATTCTAAAGGCAGTTGACTGACGTGCTTTTCCTGGGTTACACTTACCCATTCAAAGTCCTGTCATTTACTTCCCTGCAACTATAGCTAAACAAGTATTGCGCTGTTGAAGGAAAGAATGTGACTTTCCCAACCAAATGACCCTCTTCTATCATCTTCTTTGCCTTTTATAGTTGAGGATCATGCTCACCCGTGCTCTTTGGTCCCGGGTTACATAATTAGCTTGGGCCTGGTATGGAAACTGGCCGCCTTTCAGTTGCTCAGACTACAGTGCCAAACCGCAACATGACAAATAAGGTCATCTTTTTATGTAAATGTATCTTAAATAACGCCATAAACAGTGATACCAGCTTCTCACTGCCAATAAAAATGTGTTGAATAATGCTAAAGCCAAATCTCCCAGTCGACCGAACCCGTGTTAGCTCTGCTTTCCAATGGAATCCAAAATGAACTGCAGGAGACGAACATCACTTCCCAAAGAAAAGGCAGGCTGTGTTAAATGTAGTCATACAGATAATTTACACCACATATCTAAATCTAACTAGCTCAGACATCTTCTTAAATGTTCAAGCAGCCTTTTTTTGGGGGGGGGTAGAAAGTATTAGCACATTCTGAATTAGTTGCCACCAGCACAGTATTTAATCCGTGTGAAAAGAGTAAATCAAATCAATTGATTGAACCCTTTAATTAACTGAAGTGAATAAACATTATTTTTGTTCTGTTTGGTTAATATCTTAAACATTTTTTATTAGCTTCTTTTGGAAGCAGCCTTGTGAAAAATTGATGAGGTATTATCTACATCCATGATTACCTTATTTTGTTGATGTCTCATAGCGCTGCTTAAAAAGAGCCTTTTTAGCTCATCATTTACATTCCATTTGTTTACATTATATTACATCTAAGCTCTTAGGGTTTCCTAATGTATAGAGCATCCACACGTGCGTGTGTGTGTGTGGGTGTGTGTGAGGGAAAGAGTAAGAGACTGTCTGTTGACCTAAATATCATCTATTAAAGGGAAAACTAAGGCATGTCAAAGGGAAAGTCAAAGAAAAATTAAGAAAGAAGGACAGGGCAATGGCTGAATTATATTTCCTTGCTGTAATGGACGGCAGCAGGCACTGAAGGAGCATAGCTGCTCTTACATTTCTCTAGTGTGCTGCTTAGAAAGCTGCACAGCAGATATGAAGATACACACATGCTTCACTGGTGCAAACTAAATACAAGAGGTGTAGACATTATCAAAACAACATCTCAGTAAAAGAAAAGCGAAAAACTTTAGAATAGGGAATTAATTTACACAGAGTGACCAGAAGAGACAAAAGATAGTTAACACTGGAAAGACTCTTTGGGGTATCATAACTGCACAATAAACTCCGCCGGAAGCATGTGAGGACACAAGCAGAGCTGAACCAAATGCTTAGTTTAATCTCTGTATAAATGGATTGATGTTTAGCCTGAGGTGATGAAGGTAGATGCAGGGCAGGTTGCGACAGCCTGTTCAGGTCTGGATGACGTTAGGTAACTTGCCTTTTCAGAGAGATGCCTGCAGAGTGAAAAATCAAATGATTTGAAAATGACTATGTTACATCACAGACTCAGAGCGGCACTACCCCGTGCACCACTGCAGTGACATTCTCATTTAGACTGGATTAGGAGGTCAAAGGTCTGTTTTGCCCAGTTACACATGCGATACAGAGGGGCCCTGCAAAACCAGGTGTCACCAAATATGGTCAGAAATATATGTGCACAAAACGAAAAGCAATTCTGTATTGCATCAACGTTTATCAAAGATATGCTCAAGCCTTCTGAACTTCCTAATAAATATGACAACCTGTCTGTGCTGGTCACTGCAAAACAGCCTCATAAGGTGCATCACAAACAAAACCTTAAGGGGATTAAAAGTTTCCAATGACTTGAAAGACAGTCTTTAATTTGGGGGAGTGCTGTGCCTCGTGCTTGCCTTCGATATGCCTTTCCAATCACTCTCCTACTGCCCTGCTTCTGAAAAGGGATTCAGAGGGAGATAACCTTGCACTTGAAAACATGTTATGGCGGGCTGAGGGTCTGAGACAAGAAAAAACTGGACAGTAGGAGGACAGAAGGGGAGAGAGGGGGCTGCTCAAAATTATGAGTTCTCCCATTGCCCAAATAAGTACCTATCAAGAGAGAATTTGTGCCCTGCTGAGCTGCGGATAAGGCAGCCAGCAGAGAGGAGCTGTGGAAAATAGAACATGTCCATATAGAGTGGAGAGCTGAGGAGCAGGGAGCAGGAAGGGCCAGGGGGTTAAATGCTTCCCCAGAATGTGAGCTTTCACTGGCGTAAACCCAGTGAAAAGAGTCCCCGAGTCCCTGCTGACTGACACCCTGAGGGTCTACTGTGATCATGATTAGTCAACTGCAGCTGGAGCAGTGCCCGAAAAAAATACAAATTTTTCATTAGTTCCATGTTTTCCAGCGTCCAAAATACCCACATTTAAAGAGGAGGGGGGATTCTTTTTTCTTTTAAATGTAAAAAAAAAAGGAGACAAAAAGAAGAAAACCTCTCTTGACAAACAAAACGCCCCACTGATGTTTTGCTCCTCTCTGACACTACAGGTTTCCATAGCAACCCCGCTGGCCAGTAATAGCCTCTAGCTTGCCTGGCTGCAGCGGTGTCACGAAGATGCACTCACAAATTAACTCAGTGAATGGGATCCCAGAGTCTATTTATAGCAGCACGGGGACTCAGGGGGACCCACCCAGTCCTGCCGCCCCCGCCGGCGCTACCAAAACACACGTCTCTAAACACAGACCACCAACCCTTATCATTAAAAAGCCCCAGAAACACGCAGATATACACAAATACACACATATAGACACAAACACTCCTAAAAACAGAGCCACCAAGTGCCCTGCTTCTACTTAAGAGTCCCTGTAATAGTTAATGAAAGAAAGCAGGAATTCTACATCAAAGCGGCCCCTGCTGCAGCTCTACAAAGCTCATGCAACACTGAGCCTAACATTCATTTCATGAATTTTCTTGGAAACATCTCAAAGGAAAAACTTATTGTCATGTCCTCCCAGCTCTGCTGGTGTGCTCCAACAGTGAGACTGAGCGAGTGGATCGAAATGGTTTCAATGATTACATAATGTTCACTCTCACCTATGACCTTTATGACTAAAAGAACTGTGTTTTGCAATAATCTAATAGCTTTGAGGTTCTGTAGGGCCAGGTGGTAATTCAGAGACAAGGTTATGGCTTTTTTGGGCAGGGTAACCAGGTGGGCTGCTGATTTTCATAAATTAGAGCACTATAATGCGATTTGCGAACCAGCCCTGTGGTCACATGGATATACCCAGAATCCAACGGGTCTGGAAAAGTCTGGACTTCTACTCAATCATTGCGACAGCGTGTTTCTTTTCTTGACCCGGGACCATTGACAACATTTCTCTATGTAAGATCATTGCTGATGTCTTTCCTCCTTAAAATTGTACCCGCATGCTCCACAGCTGCAAAGTGACAAAACAAATCTATTTTTATCAGTCTCATGGTCTGTATGCTACGTATGCTAAATGCCAAGCGTGCTGTTATGGGTTGTGAAAACTGCCCACTTTACACAATAAATGGCCTTCCTTGTACATGAACTCTGCTGCAATCTGTAAAGGTGACAGCAATTTGCAGCTAAAGCCAGGCAGAGAGCTGGTGATTACGTAAAGGATTGACAAACACTCTACGCCTGATGTGGGAGGTGAGTCTGAGCGCACTTACCAGGTGACAGACAGAGGGGCAGAATACTGAGGGGAGGGGAAACGCTGGAAGATAGCACTGGTCCACTCTAAAAGGGGACAAAGAACAATATGTGTTAAGAATCATTTTGCGGTCATTCGACGTGCTAACATCCTGATTAAGCTTCATCTTCGACACTTACAGTCATATTACAGACGCTTGTAATGCCATAAGGACACACACATATCACACACAGGGATGCACAACACTATAATCACTCCCCTAAAATCATTCTCTTCATGCCATTTGTCGAGGGCGACATTTCAATCAATCCACTGGCTTCTGCTAAATAAACTTTTAATAAGAAGCTCCTTCCATTAGGAAAGGAAGCCTTTGTCAAACGGCGCTGGAAATGATCTGGAAAACGAGACAAAACCTCCCCAACGCTTGGCTGATCCCTGCTAAGAGTTCTAAGCAGCAGGCATACGGGGCTGTGTTAAAGGCATGAGAAGCCAGCGGAAAAGAAAGAGCTGGTCAAAAGGAACGCCAGAAACACACGGCGAAGAGGTAAAATAGGAAATGAAGAAAGGAAGATTGTTATCTTATACTCCTCCACCAGCACAGACAACACTTCACCCCGTTTGTGTCTGTCTTCTACTCATCACGGCTCCACCTCTCTCTGCCCAGAGCCGGACAAAAACAGGGCAGTAATAGTTTCTTTATACAAGCACTTCGCAAGATAAACTCTGTCAGATGAGTGTAGACAGTGAAGGAGAGATTTAAACAACAGGGAGAAAGTGAAGGTGCTGCACGCCCCATTGTTTTTATGTTGGGGATTATGATTGTTTATTTCAGATGGATTTTTCAGACAGCCCAGTAAAAAACAAAGAATCCCATCACTGGTCCTTTTGTTCTGCTTGGCAGAGGAAGAAAGTGTTCAGCAAAGCAAAATCTCAATGCTCTTTAAAGTCAGCTGGACTTTTAATCACACCTGTGAGAACTACAGACAACAAATGCCTTCACTGACACTCCCCACTGGAAAGAATGACCTCTCTTTGGCGTGTTTAGATTCACAGGATGACGGAAGGACAGCCTCAGGTTAACTACTCAGTAAACAGCAACAGGAGGAGAAATGACAAAAACGAGTTTTGTAAAACTTTGTGAAAACAAGGAAACCTTTATGATTCTGTACTGAACAGTTCTTCCTCTTTAACAAAGCTGTTCTGTTGTGGGAGGAATCAGAGAGAATCTGAAACGACAGTTCCTTGATTTTTAAATCCTCCCTTCAAGTTGATGGATCCTCTCCTACAGTGGTAGCTTTTGTGGACCTGATATGCTACATGTCAAGTGGCCCCACTGAATGAGAGCTGTTCATAGGCCTCTTCAGAGAAAGCCATGTCACTTCCACACAGACCAGTGTTTATGCACTGCTGGGCAAATTAACCAGAGCAAACCTTCCCAATAGTATATTACCATTAAGTAAGAGCTCTCTCATCTGTCACACCCCACACTACAAAAAATAATAATAATTAAAAAAAAGAATCTGCATTTTGAAAGCCTCACACAAATTATAATTCAACATGTGTAACCTGTTGGCAGAAAACCAGCCACTGTTGCAAGCTTATTTCAAAAGAATATTTTCTTACAATTTCAACACTATATCCTCACAAACTGTTGGGCAAACAGCCACCTAACTGTTTTTCAAATGGACACTCAGCCCCACTCTAAAAGCGAGCCTGTCCCCGTAGACGCCCGTTTTCGAAAAACCCAAATTTGTAACAAAAATAATCAAGTTTACTGCCAGGAAGCAAAACGCTTCTAGTCCTGATGGCTAATTTCCACTCGTTTATAGCTCTGAGAATAAGGAGTAACAGCCGCCAAACAGCACATGTTTAAACAGTCTGTATTTTATACGCAGGGTATCACTTATGCTCGGCAGTGCTGCCATGGAAACTCCAAGTGCCACAGCTAATGTAGTCCAGAGATTAATACACAATGTCAGATAAAAGATGGATGCATACTTAGCTACTTAATAGAATATTTTCCCTTCCTCGTGTGTGTGTGTGTGTGTGTGTGTGTGTGTGTGT